TTTAGTGGGAGACAGAAAGGAGTCATGAGGTATTAGTGAATGGGCAAGATAGGCAACAAATACTAGTCTAAAAGAAAAGAGCAGAAATAGTACTTGCTTGGAGGATATGAAGCTCAGCTCCCTAGCTCTCACATGCCAAAGCTAATTTTGCTTATAGTTGTGAACTATGATACCACAAATGGCACAGAACTTTGGTTGAGACTGTAGAGTGGAAATGAGAATTAACAGGAAAAATGAAAACAGTGAAACAAATCCTAGAGGCTCTGAAGCTACTATGTAATGGAAAATTGTGATATAATTATAAATACGGAAGAAATATTAGAGAAACTTCAGCTGAAGGCAGCAGGTTGATTTCATAAGCTATTTGGGATAATTATATATTTAGTTTGGCAATGTATAGGATTTTATTCATTCCTTTATTTTGTTCACTAACAATATTTGATAGACATGGCTTGTTTTTCCTTGGATTTCTTATGTATAGGATTTGGAACTAAAAAGTAAGACAGGTAGGCCAGAGAATAATTGGACTAACTAAAAATTACCCAATTTGGCAATACTCAAGTTGTGCATAAAAATTCAGTTCAAAAGGGAAGATTCCTCCTCTCTGATCTTTCAAAGTTGAACAGCTATTTCTGTAACTTGCCTGTAAAGGAAGATTAGGGATGTTCTATCTAAATTTGTTTCTCATCACTTTGGACTTGCAGAGAGGAAGCCAGCGCTGAAATCCTATCCTAAAGGCAAACTGAGAGAGAGCAAGAGCGAGAGACAGAGAGAGAGAGAGAGAGAGAGAGAGAGAGAGAGAGAGAGAGAGATTAGAGACAAACAATGGAATATTCATATATTTTAATCCTCATGGAGACATTTCTTTTTTCTTTGTTTGTTTTTGTTTTGTTTTTGCAGTGTTGATATCAAACTCAGGAACTCATGCATGCCCAGGGAAGATTTCAAATGTTTGGAAAAGACAAGTGATTCACTTGAACATAGCTAATTCCCCCCTTTTTTTTCAATTTCAAGAACAGTTAATAGAATCTCAATGGGTGATAAACAGTCAAAGAACAAACTGCTTCACTGCCAAACCAATAACTCAGGCTGAAAAAATTAGAGCAGCATGCTGCTGAGTGGCTCCGAAGTAACATTTAGATGATTAGTAACTGGCATTTAGAAATATATGAAAGTGCAATGTAAACAAAGGAAGAGTGTCTTTCTTAAATCACAGTAGATGATGAAATTAACAGTAAAAAGAACTGAGCCATTGTAGTGTCTTGTAGATGGTGATTTCAGTATTTAATTTTAATCTTTTCTGAAAAAAATTTCTTTTGTGATTTGACTCATTCGTATTGGGCCTAGGGACAGTGGGGTCTGGGTTAATTTTAAAGTTCAAAGTAAGTGAATCAGATACTAGATTTTACTACAGGCCTTATGTTATATTAGTTGTTCATCTGAGCACTCTGGCCTTTCATGCCAGTTATATTCCTTCTGGTCAATGCACTTACATAGAATCTGATGGAACTGAGACTCAGGTAAAAGGCAGCTGTGGTCAGAACAACTGTGATCCGAAGTTAAACTCAAATGCTTTTTCTGCATCTATTGAGATGATCATGTGGTTTTTGTCCTTGACTCTGTTAATATAGTGTATTACATTTATTGATTTACATATGTTGAACCACCCTTGTATCCCTGTATCCCTTGTATTTGACTTGGTCAGGGTGTGTGATTTTCTTGATGACCCGCTGTATTCTGTTTGCCAGGATCTTATTGAGGATTTTTGCATCTATGTTCATTAGGTAGGCCATACTCTTAAGTGAAATAAATAGGACACACATGTGTAAATACCGAATAGTTTCTATGGTTGGGAAAATGAAGTGCAAATAAGGTTCAAATTGTATAATTGATAATGTGAAATGGAAAGAAATGGGCTAAAGTTGTAGGGAAAGTGGGAAGGGTAGGGGAAAGGAAATAAGGGAAAAGAAAAAATATGAGAAAAGGAAAAAATGGAAACAAAGTCTTTGTAAATAGGGAAGGGTGGAGGGGGTGAAGGGAAGGCAGGGGAATGGGGAAAAAATGAGAACCAAGGCTTGTCATGTAAAGGTACATGATCCCAATATAAATGTAACTGTACTGTATACCTAAAAAGTACCAATAAACTCAATGAAAAGAAAAAAGAAAGTTAAACTCATAAAGAGGATAACAATAAAATTCATACATATAGAGAAAAAAGGTTGAAAAAAGATGCCCTAAATTTTGGACAGTGACTGTCTCTGGATGTTGGGTTTACAGAGGACTTTCTCTTCTTCCATCATTTATTTCTTGATAATATTAAGGAGCTGTTAATTTTTAAAATGTGAAGATATCATTATGGTCATGTTTGAAGATCCTTATCTATAAAAGATTCTTACTGAAGTGTTTATGGATTAAATGCTCTGCTACCTGGGATTTGCATCTAAATCATACACTATGGAGTCAGGTGGGTAGAAATAGCTAAAACAAGATTGGACATGAACCAGTGTCTGATGGTGTGGAGTAGTTCCTTGGACGACAGGCCCAACTTTTGTATATGTTGGAAAGTTTCATGAAAGATCAGTAGAGATGATAGGGACAACACTGTGGAAAACAGGTTGGGGACTAAACGTGAGGTACTTCCAGTGCAAGGAAGTTCTATTCTCCAGTTTGGTGCTCTCCAAACTTTAGTGTACGCATTCCTACCTGTGACAATATCTGTTCAGGCATGCACCAGGCAGATGCTTAGTTATTTATTCATTCATTTATTTAAAATTATGTACATGTACCACTGTACTATAATGCCATTATAAAACATACACAAACATAAAAAAGCTAGATAAAAATAAACACAGGTATCATTCTAGTATTTTCTTCTTATCCTCTACCGGACCTGGACCCCGGTTAGGAGTCCCATGCTAAGTGAGAAGAAAGGGACCCCTTAAGTTTTTCTGAGTAGTAAAGAATTTGTTCATAAGAAACAGAAACTTAGTGGAGCAGCAATAGGTAATGGAAAATCAAATAGAAAGGCCCAGAGCCATTTCCCCGAGGCTACTCAAAAAACTGGAATGAACTAGGACATTGCTGTAACTAGAAATGCAATTTGCAAAAGGATCATCATTTCCTTGTACACATCTTTTATATATATGCAATTCACATAATGTGTTGTGCACACAGTCAGGATACAATATGCATATAAAACAAACATCCTCCACACGTTATCTCAGTCGATATATTTAATACAAATCAGTATGATGATGATTATGATATCTAACATTGAGTACTTATTCTCCACCAGATATTTTGGTAAGAACTTTACATATACATAATTTTACTTAGAACTTGTGACAACCTTCTGGAAACAGATCTTAGTATTGATTTTTATTTTACCACAAGGAAACTGAGCTTTAGAAAAATAAGTAGCTTTCCCAAGATGAAAGGGCTAGAAAATGGCCTAACCAAAATTTAAAACAAGATAGTTCTGACCCCAAACTCCATATCCTTTCACTAAACCACATTGCCTCAGAAAGAATTAATGATAGTGTGTAAGCCATAAGATTGCTGATGATTGAATGAGATAATATATGTGATGATGTTTAGCATACTGTCTGAAACACAGCACACATCCTATTAATAGTTAGTATTTTAGTACACAGAATGATATTTACTAAAGTTTTCCACAGTAAACACCACTAATAGCTCTCAATATCAAAACACCAATATTTATAATTGTAATGAAATAATGTTTTATCATTTAAACATTATTTATGATAATACATGCCTAGAACTCCTTTTGTTTGCTGCCATCTATAAACATGTGGTGTAGCTTTTGTTGTTGAGTCTGTGGAATGGCTGACTAGCAAGAGGTAACAACTGTGGACTGTGTGATGCCTCCTGGCAGTAGGCTACAAAAATGTGTACTTGGTACACTACTGTCATAGTCTGTCATATTCTGAGGAGCCTACACAAATAGGAGTGTGTACAGCTGACCACTGAATGACCTAGGAAATACATATGTACATATCAAATTTATTTCATGATTGCAGAGTTTGCATCCTTTTTTTTTTTGACCTAAAGTTACATTTTTAGAGAGATGGCACTTCTGAAAACTTTGCAGCCCATTGATTTCACCCGAAATGGTCAAATTTACTGCTGCTTTTTTTTTTTTGTCTTCTTCAGATTTCACATTTCTATCAGCCAATCCAAGTCAAGTGCTTGTTTAAGAAATATTTTATTTAATCTTGGCTTCTAGTATGAGAGTAGCCATCTCTCCTTGATATTCTGGAACATTCCAGATTTGAAATCTTGTCCTGGTATTAGACTGTAATTCCAAGTTTGGTCAGCAGCTCTGGCTCCTGGAAAGGAGGTGCCACATGAAGCTCCCCTAAGAGTGGCGAAGGGCTGGTCTGCAGCTGGTCCACAATACTGGGTCTGTGCTTACTTATCCTGATCATTCAATGTTCCTTTTTTTGTTGTTGTTGTAATTTTGCAAATATGTCACTAAATATTCTGTGACTCTAGAACGAATTTTAAGCTTCATGGTTGAGGTGGGGTGGGGAGAAGACACTGTCTTTGGTTTATGTATTTTGACATTTAGTTAAAGCAGATTTCTCTTTTCATCAAACAATTTAATTTTGGTATTCTTAACTCTATTCATTTTATGTAATTAGATAAGCCATAACTTTAGGTATCACCTAGGAAAGTGCCCATAGTTCCCTCTGTTCTTGTTTGTGGGAAGCTGTTTAATTCTAGAAATACTGTGAAGAGCATTTGTGTGGACACAGTAGGCACCCCCCACACCCACCTGTAGCCCAAATAGCATAAACCAAAATTAAATATGTGGAATTCTTAGGAGAAAGCATCGGATAACCAAACACTATGAGCAAAAAATTAATTTATTACATATATATTCTCTAGTAATTCATAATAGCTTCTTGAATTTTAAATGTCTTTTCGCTATTTCCAATGCTTAAAAATCATAATTTTAAAACATAAATGCTGTTTTATATACATTGTAATTTCTTTTCTAAATTTTCTTTTGGTTTTTACTTCTAAATATGAATTATATGGTCTCCAAGTATCCACGTGGAAAGAGGAGCTAGGATCGATTGTTTTGCTCTTACACAGTAAAATTTAAAATTTCACGTCATACACTTGGAGTTTTGACTATATGAAAAATAGCCAAATGTCATCACTTTCTTGTATGTTTCTTTTACATGTATATGTATGTATAGTATAAACAGAATATATCTGATTAGGACCTTTCAACATTTCATCAATGTAACCTTTATCTCCTATTTTATATAAAATAACAAAATATACAGAGAGAAGAAAGGAGACATCTGTTCATCGTACACAGAAAGTAAATAAAAGTTCATGTATGGCTTTGCAAAGGTAGATTATGACGTGACTTCTCATATTTATTTATTTAAAAGCATCTTGAGAGAACGTGTTAGTGTGCTTACGAGAGCGGCCATGGTGGTTGAATGTCGCATCGAAAGTCCAACATTAGGATCTCCAGTGGTCTTCCTAGTGGCTGCCTCCGCAGCTTTCAGGAGACAAATGTAATTAATGACCACTTGGTCGATCTTCGCTACAATTTCCTGCCGCTGTGTTTCCGAGTTCACAACTTTCACTAGTCGCATGCAAGCTTCTGTTAGGCAACAGAGCACTTGGAAGCTGGAGGTCATAGCCAAGAGCATCTCCTCTGGGCTCTTCTCGGCCAGCGCCATCTTCCTACAGGCACTTCCCAACTGTCTGGACTCAATGGATAGCAGCTGCTTGTACTGAGAAAGTGTAAGGTCATATGCTTCAGGGCAAGACTCCTCTCTCTTTCCCTTGGTTGCCCTGATGAGGCAGAGCAGCTCGTTGGCATCATTTTGGGCTTCGAGGAACCCATCGGGCATTACATATGTGCTGTCCTTTAGGGTATTTATTCTTGCAATCCTAGCATCAAAAGCCAGATTGCTGAAGTCCAAGTCATCCGGGCCATTCGGGTCTTCTGCCCAGACCTTCAGCAGTGACCCTCTGGATAGCTCCACTCCCTGCTTCTGAATCTCAACAGCCAGCAACGGGCTAGTTGGCTGTGGCATGGCTTGCATCATCTGTGGCCGATATAGGCAAGAGACCTGGAGGGTGGCCTCTCCCTCTTCTTCATCCTCATCCCCATCTTCTTCCTGCCCTCGGTTCAAGAAACAGTAGCTGAAAGGTCCTCGGCACCTCCAATTGCTACCCTCCAGCTTCCGCAAGGGTAATGTCTTATAGAGCTTTGAGTCTTTTTGAGCCACTGGGGACCTTTTGTGAAACTTCCCCTCAGAGCTAAAGTGCATCGAGCTTTGAGAGACACTCTTGGTGAGCTTCGTCCCCAGGGGAAGTTCTGCTCGCTTCTCCCAAGTGTCCTCCTGTGCTTCTGTGATACCTGGACACTTCAAGCTGACTGCACCCTTGGTTCTCTCTCGGAAGGTCTCCAAACCTACAGATCCTGACAGGACACTGCTGCTATGTCTGAGAGCCCTCTGGCTGGGGGGTGTCCTGAGGCTCCCCCCTCCGAGATCTGGTGGCTGCCAGCTCACAGCCTCTCCATATGCCTGGTTTGCTTGGGAGAAATCATTAGGGTCTTGATTTGGAATTGGCACCTTTGATTCCGAGTGAATGTTAGATGGTAGCAGAATGGGATCGGCTTCAGGATGTTGAGACCAAGCTGAAGGCATTCCTCCTCGTCTCTCCTTCCCAGGCTCTGTCAGAGCTACACTAGGGGTAGTAGAAAAACAGAGAGATTCATTAAGCATCTCGTGGGTGGCCATTTTCACTACATCTCTAGGTGATGAATGTCATGTCTCAGAGAGGCACTGTAGAAGGGCTGCCATATGTCAGGGACACTCTGATTTCCAAAGTGCCTCCTGACAGCTCATACCGGATTTCCATTTCAATGAATGGCAAGAAATACTGGAATCTGCTATTTCTGGAACTGCTACACTTATTCACTTGGAATCATCTAGAAATCACAAATGTCTTTGGGAGGGACCATGTATTTCGTGAATTGCCTTCTTCCCAGTATTCATTCACCAAAGTTTAGACACATAGAAAACTCATATCCTATATATGCATTCTTCAAACATGTTTAAGATATTTAAGTTTCATTTCAAGGGGGGGGGGTTAGCTTAATCCTGACGCTGCTAACTTTAAAAAGAAGTGGCCTGATATATTTAATAAAGGATTAAACTGTGTGGATTAATTTCAAGGGGGGAAGATGAGTTGGGTGATACGTTAGGTAACAGCTCACAGATGGCTTTCCCAAGGCAGGCAAAGCTAATGGTGGGTTGTGGGAAGATAGAAAACCTTTGAGATTTTTAAGAGTCTTTAAAGGGGAGAAATGGAAATTAACCATTGTTATTGATTTGGACAGAAAAGACTCTACTGAAAAGATTTGAAGCATGAAAGCATGAAGGAGCATTGGCTGTTCTCATGTGATGGGATTGGCTGTCCAGGGACTGGTGAGAGGACCATGTATTTAGTGGGTGGTTGAACTAAGGAGACAGGTACAGAAAGTGGCCGAGTTCTTGTTTCTCACTGTCTAGATTTTGCTATTCTGGGGGAAATAAAGCTCATCATGCATACCCCCAGAATCTTCCTGACAATGAGGTTATGCCAGAAGCTTCAGGAAAATTCTTTAGGGGAGTCATTCAGAGATGGGCCCAAATCTGTGAGACTGGTGAAGGGCAAATGCTATCTCCCAACCCTTCCAGTCTCCCTGATGCGCACTCTGCTCTATTAGCCTTTGCGGTCTCTCAACAAGCTGACAAAACTAAAAATGACACATCTTGGGAAGAAACGCAAACTCTTATGTGATCCTAAGCAATACTATCTTCTAACTAAAAGTAACATCGGGCCTTGCTAAAAGCCTGCATTTAGAATTTAGGAAAAAATGAATGCTCCATCAAATTGTAAAAGCAAGAGCACAGCAAGACTGTAAAGAAAAAATGCCATTTTCAACATTGCTGCACACCTAGGAACTTCGCTATTTAATACTAGGGCCTAATCAGTGATTGCTACTTAATAGTTTGGTGCCCCCCCCATCTTTTACTTTTCTTCTGGATTTACATGTTTAGATTTGTTGTGAATATGGCTTTCATGTTCCTGGTGTGTACTGCAAAGTGCTAAATGTATCATTGCTGTACCTGTGGTTTCCTTAATCTTGGGGAGCCGATGGCATCCATCTCTCAAAGTGCCAAACAGGGGGTCGGCATTAATGGCTGTGTGCAGAGCTGGCACTGTCATCCGTGGACACATCCCTTCTGCCTGTGGGTGCAGATCCTTAAAGGTGGCTCCATGGCTGGGGAGGCTCGTGGCTCTCTCCTCTGAAGGAATGTAACTCACACCTTTCCCGGAAGCATCTGGAATCAAGTGCTTCCCCATGGAGGGGCAGAGGGGCGACTCCACAGGAGTGGCACAGGCACTGCTACCACTGCCGGGGGGACAGCCTGTGTCCACTGAAGAGCCTTGAGAGCTTTGTAGAGAAAAGTGGCCCTCGCTCTGCAACGATGACATCCGCTTGGCCAAGTGGTAGTCACAAAGACGGGCTACACTCTCTTCCGTCTCTGGAAGCTTGGAGTTATGGTCACAAGTGGGCGAGTCAGTGTCCTGGGGGTTGTCTAAGTCTTTGGCTGAAGACACGCAGGCCATGTCTGTTAAGAAGCGGTCCCCTTGGCCCAGTCCTGAAACATCACTGGCTTCTCCATCCAGAGCCCCTTCTTCCTGCCCTTCAGTCTCCCTGGCCCCGAGTCCAGGAGGTCTGGGAAAGGTTTTCCCGGTTGCTGTCTCCAAGCCACTTTTCTCTGCCACCCCACCTTCACTGGCCACATACCATCTTTGGCTGTCCTTACGAAAGGCAGTTCTCTCCAGGTTAAATGTGCCAAGGTGCGGACTGTCCCTCGAAGACACAGTCCCAAACTTCCCTTTGGCCTCCTCCTCCATCTCTGCTGTTTTGGTTCCTTGCTGTTTTTTTCCCGGGACGTTCCCACCTGGAGCGGCTTTCCCCTCCCCGTCGGCCAGCTTGCTTTTCCTTTTGCTGGTGCAGGAGTATGTCACCGACCCCATGTGCACTTTGCTAAAATAGTCCGTGACCGACTTGGTCTCCATGGTTTCCGGCTCCATTTCCATGTGGTCTGAGTGAAGCATCTGCTTGGAAGGCACAACTTTGGGCGGGAGGTCGGGCACTGGGCGCGCAGCCAGGCCATGGGCTGAGGACTTGGGAGGCAAGGCCCCCGAGGGGGCTTTGGAGGTGGGGAACTCTGTCTGCTCTTCTGCAAGGGGGTGGTAACCTTCATGAGTGGCCAAGAGCATGCGGGAGAGGCTTTCTGACTGCTTTTGTGCTGCGGCCAGTTCAGAACTCTCAGTCATTTCAGAGGAGTTAGTTTCATTGCCTGAGTCTGACGAGGACTCAGGACTATAGGCTCGCAAGATGGCTACACCTGCATGCCGTAAAAAACAAGAAGTAATTAATGCATACATCTGAGGCACTTGGAGACAAGTAAGAAAACGAGACTCATGAGTATTAAAAAAAAAAGAGTTTTCAGTAAGGATTCTGAGTTTATTGCATGGTTGTTTCCAGAAATGGGGGAGGGGGATGTGCTGTATGTTAAAAAAAAAAATAACAGCAAAAGAAATGAAATACACAGAAACGCATGATGATAGTTCAGCACATTTATGAAGTGGGGCATGCGTGAAATGGAGAACACCACAGAACAGGACCTCGAGGGTGGAATGACACGGCTATCAGTGAATAAACGTAACAATTGTAAAAGAACCTGAATTGTCACTGGTCTGCTGCTCTTCTGACACGGACAGAGCTTCCAGCGTGGAGACGACAGCACTGTTGAGTCCCTTCTCACACTTGCCCTCGGCACTGGTGGGCACAGCGTCAATGAGCGACACGGGGATCTCATCGCTTTGGGATTTGCCGCCTTGCTCCTTGTCCTCTGGGAAGGAAGCTGCCTGGCTCTGGGTGTCCTCCTCATCCGAACTGTCCCGAAAGCCAGGTGGGGGGGCAGCGATGGCCATGTTCAGGGACCTCAGCAGGAAGTCATCCTCGTTGTCATCACCTTCCGGAGGGGGCAGGGATGTCAGGTCGATGATGTCGTCACTTGACCCTGAGAGGTCGAGGATGGCTGGCTGGTTCATTTCGCTCACCACGAGGTCCTCCTCACAGCTCACCTCATCCTCATCCTCCACGTCATCGGTGTTTTCTGCATAACAGATGTCGTGTAAGAGGGGCTCCTCTATCCCCTCAGGGGCCTCAAAATTCTTCACATCGCCTATGTTGGCGTAAACAGAATTGGCCACGAACTGGATGCTCTCTGTGTCAGGAGCCAGGTCCAGATTCTTCATGTCGTTGGCACTGCTGATGTACAGGTTCCTCTGCTTGGCCAGCACTTCCGGATTCTCATCTAATAGTCTTTCGTAGCCGAGCATGGGGGGGCTCATACTATCATCCAAGGCGAGATCTCCAAAAATAAAGGACACTTTCGCTCCTCGAGGAGATTCCTGTGCTTTCTTCAGAGTCTCTGGTCCTGAGAGGGTCAATAGGGAGCGCTGGGCTAGGCTTCTGTAGTCTGCCTCACAGGAGGCATTCCCGGGCTGGCTCAGGTGCGGATTCAGCCCATCGGAATTATAGGTGGTGTCCATGTACAAGTGCCGGTGGTCTTTGGGATACATGGTGCTGTCTGTAATCTCCACCGTCTTCTGTTTGGAATCTATGTACGTTATCTGGGCTTCCTGCTCCCCCTCGCCAATAAAGGTGGTCATCTGGGGCATGCAGTTCCAATCTGGGCCAAGGAGGTTGTGCTTTCCTTTCATCTCAGTTCCTAAAGAGAAAGAATCATGCAAAGACACATTACTGGGATGTGCGGTTTCAGGGCCATAGGAGACTTGTCTGTTTCTTTATTTAATGGCTTGTGGCATCACTTGTGAAAATACAACTATTTGATTTTCCTATATGGTAGCAGTTGATGTAGGATCCTTGTTTAGAAAAACTGCTCTGAACAAAATGGATACTGCATAAAATATCATTGCTATGCAATAAAATATAATGTCATCAGAGAGCAGGGAACTATAGCTTAATTCCCTCTGACCCTTGGTTCTATTATTAGAAGACTTCATTACATCTATGAATGTAAATATACAACATGTCTTTTACAACCTTTAAAGGTGATATTTCAACAGGCGGTTACTCCAGAAAATAAGCTGCCCTTTTCTTTTCAAGTGAGATCTAACGCTCCCCTCTCGGTGCAGGAAAATATTGAACTTCTTCCTCATTGAGCTAAGAGAAGGTCAACAGTGTTCGTACTTCTACCACATTTCTTAGGAAGGTAAAATAAACATTGTACCTCTGTCTTTAGCCTACTTATATCCAAGCGAGTATAACCCACTCATGTACAAATGTCACTATGCCTACCTGTATGTATGTGTATGTGTATATGATGCATGAGGTGGAATAGCCATAGGTCATGTATGTCTGTCGGTTATTTCTAGGTCTAGTTAATATTTAGGTTACTTTTAAATTTTTTTTATATCAGGGGAACCGAGAAAGACTTGTTTGATGTTCCTCAGGAATTAAAATTGCACAGTCCTAATTTAAATACTATTGTTTTGTTTGTTCTTCTTTTAATATGGAATTTTCATGTGGAGATTTGCTCTGATATTTAACAAGATACAGAACTGGGTCATTCTGTCAATAATGCTTTGTAGATTCTGCAAAGCCCTGCCATTATTTCATCTGTTCCCTCAAATTTCCCCCTGGCATATGTTTGGGTAATACTGACATCAGATGTACAAGACATGTGGAAAAGCAACTCAGTTTTACCAAAGTGGGCTTTGCTTCCTCTAAATTGTAGAATGGGTCTAACACTAAACAATGTCCAGAGCCATTTTACAAAACACATCCATTTTTATAAAGAGCAAATAAATGATGTGATTTTGAAGGCACCGAGCTATCACTGACCATCTTTTACATCTAACCTTACAATCCATGTGCCTTGTGGGGTTCGACAATGTTTTCTCCAACAATAAGAATTTAGGTTATGATGAGCTCTGTGTGTGTTGGTTGGGGGAGAGGTGGATTCATTCCAGGAGGGAGAGTAGTTCCACAGAGTTGTAACAGGGCTTAGGTTTACACTGGGGTTGAGAGATATTTTCACAATAGGAGGGCCAGCTAGTAAATGTTTCAGGTTTTGTGGGTCAACTCTTTAGTCGAGTGACTATTCAACTCTGCTGTTACAACATGAAAGTTGCCATGGATGATCCATAAACAAATGGCAGTGTGGGTTGAATGGTAGTCCTCAAGAGATGTGTCCTCTCCGTGAATGTGTTCTTCTTTTCTCCTCATTGAGTTTCTTGGTACATTTTAGGTATACAGTACAGTTACATTCATCAGTGGGATCTTGTAATGTGCTCTTATTGGAGATGTGACTATATTTTGGGGGAAAAAGTTGTGTAGATTTAATTGCTATGGGTCCTTGGATGAGATCACCCTGAATCATCTGTGTGGGCCCTAAATCCAATGGCAAGAGAAAGGCAGAGGCAGAGGTGGGCCCAGAGACAAGGCAAAGGCCACCTGCAGACAGAAGCAAAGGCTGGAGTTATGCAGTCACCAAAAGTGCTGACAGCCCCCAGCAGCAGGCAAAGGCAAGGAACGACCTTCCTGTCGATGCTGAGGAGGGAGCATGGCCCTGCCTACACCTTGACTCTGGACTTTTGGTCTCAAGAACTGGGAGAGAATTTATTTCTGTATTTTAAAAGTTTCTGGTAATTTGGTACAGCAGCTCCAGGAAAGGAGTCCAATGTGTGTGGATGAATTCCAATAAGGTCTTATGTATAAGAATAAGTTTCAGCCCATTCATTAGCTTTAGCTTGTCAACTCCTGGCTGTGAGCAACAAGAAAACTGAATAGGTCAGAAGGCTACAAGTTAATGATCCTGAGACAGACCCTTCCTAAGGCTCAGAGATCTATCGATACATGGTATCAGGCAAATTTTCAAAATAGAGGGGGGAGAATGGGGCTTCCAGTTCTTTATTAAAGATCTTGACTAAGTTGGTTCTCAATTTGAGATGAGAAGGAAATATGTGCTCAATTTTGGCTTCCTTTAGGGAGGATATGCTGATTTGGCTTCTTAGGATGATTCTGGAGATGCAGAGGGATCTGGAGTGAGAAATGGGACCCGTTCTGTGGCTCAGTCTCAATTGGACTAGGGATGAATTGGACCAACAGGGCTTTACTTTTGACATTTCTCATGTCTCGGGAGAGATTTTGGCAATTTTGAAAGAGAAGAGAGTGCGCGCAGCCATCATAGGAAGTCAAGATCCAAACTGCTTCTCAGGCAAGGTCTTCCAGGCCCTTTCTGGGGTGTGCTCTATCTCTCCCAGGCCACCACACTCTTTCAGAACGGGGACAGGTATCTGGAGCACGTACCCTCCCCTTCATTCTTGCTGTAGAACTGGGATAATTCCCTGAGAGGCAGAAGTTCCCTTCTCCCCCTACAGTAATAACACTTTCGTAACTAAAGTCTGCCTCTCAGTTTTACTAAATACTACATTTTCAATCACTATAAATTGGACAGAACTGAGACCCTTATTATTGTAATCATTATAGGATGGTGGGTTTGGTTTTCTTCCTGTACTGGTACAATTTTAACAGCCCATGGAGAAAAAGTTTTATCTTCAGAATAAACTTTAAGATTTGAAAATTAAAAGCTAAACCTGGTTTTCCAATGTGAAAGGATTGTGTTAAATTGCTTCTCTGCTCTCTCGAACTCCAAAGGTCATTGCTGAATTGCTCTAAATCTCCTCTCTCAATGAAAACATGTGGTCATAAAAGTGTTCTCTATCAAACCCTGCGTACTTTCCTCCTCCTCTTTGCTCCTTCCCTTACTCTAATTATCTTTAATCCTTTGCGTCCCTCAGGGAATTTCTCTGCCTCCTGTTCTGTGTTTTTCATCCTTCTATAGTTCTCACTTTCATTCTCAATTTTTCCTACCAGTTTTTTTTTTTTTTTTTTTTTTTTTTACTGCCAACTAGTAACAGATGTTCTGAAGATCATTTTAGGTGCTGTACGTAGATTTCTCTCTAACCCTTACCCTGTAAACTAAGCTTTCAATCCCACTTATAGTGACGAGGCAACATAAGCTAAGAAAATCTAAAAACACATACACCTGGAGGTGGGGCTGGATTCTTAGATTTATCTGACTGCAACGTCAAAGCTGCCTTCCAGCGTATTCCCCCTGATCCCGTCGTTTACACACACTCTCTCTCTCTCTCTCTTTCTCTCTCTCTCTCTCTCTCTCTCTCTCTCTCTCTCTCTCTAGTATCTCTCTCTCTGGCCTCTCTTTTTCTATGATTATAATTGTTCCCACTTACCCAGCCATCATCATAAACTAGGTATGAGTCTGTGTGAATCAAGATATTACAATATATTTATACAATATAGATTAAAGATTTATGCTTTCTTTTCAGTTTAAAAATGAGTTTTCCTTCCCCTCTTTTTTCATCCTCCCCCTTTCTCTTAGCGACAATGAATTTGTTTTTAAGAATTCCCTTTCTTGTCAAAAAAGTGTCATTATGCATTATGGAACCCTGGATTGGAATTGTTCATGGGCCAGTGGCTCCGCCTTGCATGCTGGTGTCTAACCATCAGCCACACTTACTGAGCATCCTCTGTAGATGGAGAAAAATGCTCCAATACTGAAAAAGTCCTAAAACAAATGAAAACAACTAGCCTCGAAGGAAAATCAATTTAACATTTGTATTCCTTCTCATCCTCACTCGTGGGGGGGGGGCATGTCCTATCAAGTGGCCGGATGGAATTATCTGATATCACTGTCATCTCGATGCTCCTGTTATGGATTCAAGATGGCTGTCTGGACTGCAGAAATCCCTTCCAGAGTCCCCAAGTCTAAGTGCTGGGTAATACCCACCTCCTCCTATTGCTAACCACCCCCCCCAAATCCTGGTTAAGTCTGACTTAAGGAAGGAGGCCGTACAGCCATCATCAGTTAGTTCTGTGTGTCCTGGTGATACTGATGCAGCCATAAATAATAAAATCACTGCGTTTGAAGCAAGTAGCTGACATTTCCAAGTGCCATGCCAAATATGATGGGAAATCAGCACATTCATTTTTCACAATTAGAGAATATCAGCAGTATTTGAAGGCTTTTCTGCTTCATTTGGATATTAAGATTTATATGGGTACAATTTTAACTTTTCAAGGGACATATTCCTTATTGCTGTCAGGTGAGGTCTAGATGTGGTGGTAGTGGTGAAATGGTCAGTGCTTCACAAGCTCAGAAAGAAAATACCTGTGTCCTGGGTGCCTGCATTTTTCTTGTTGGTCATGTTAAATATCGACCTCCTGGAATCGACAAGCAGCCTGTAGTACCCAGCAGTTAGGCAGGCCAGGTTCATGGCATCAGATGATTCCATCAGAAGAGTGATGGGCTGCAGAAAAAAAGTTGTTTTGGTTAAAGCCATCCTTCCTTAAGAAGCTCCCTTGAGTGTCAACAGCTGCATTTATGCTTATAAAACACAAACAAAAGAAGTTATTGAACAAAGATTCCAGTGGAGAAACACAAAAGGGGAGGAAAGTCAGGGCAAACACAAAGCACTTTATTGAGAAACATGTAGGAGGCTTAAAAAGCCTGGACCTTTTGGATCTCTTCCCAGTCAAATTGGAATCAGAACAAGGAATCATTGGTTCTTGTCCCCAAATTATGAACATTTAAAAAAGTTAAATTACAAGTTCCTTTCATTATCAGGAGTGAACACTCGATGTGAAAAAGCTCACCGGAAGATTAAGTTTGGGGCTCATGGTGAAAATTGGTGTTAAAATAAGATAAAAATCAAGTGGAAAATTCTTCTAAGACTGGATCAGAAGTGTCAAAGAGATGCTTCTAAATGAAACTGTAAATTTACAGGAAGGTAAACTAGAGCTGAGAGTTGAAAAAAGCCTAGAATTTTCTGAAAACCATGAAGTTACGTTATTGGATATGTATCTTGGGAGCGCAGGGAAGGAGGTGTTGATGGAACAGTTTTCCTGAATGAGTTAGGAAGGGTGTATTCTTCTTGAGAGAGACAGAGAGACAGGAAAAAGCAGACAGCAAAAGGGTGCAGACAGAGAGACAACCAGTCTCTGCTTTCATTCCCCAGAATAGGACACTGGCCAGGTCTGATGTCCCTCTCTGGTGGCATAGAACTTTCCATCTAAAGTCCCTATAATACTTGGTGAACTATCTTTCCTTCCACTTCACCTGAGGTCTCCCCTCACCTCCCAGCCACCCCTCATATTCAGTAGGTAGGACACCAAATAGTCCCATGAGCGGGTCTCGCCACTCACTTCTGTTCGGGACAGATTGTCACGGCACCAGGGCTGTAATGGCTATGGCTACATCCAGTTTATGCTTTCTTCTGCCCTTTCCCCATGATGGGGCTATCTATTTCTGTCAGCATCCTTGATCATGGCCTCGGATAGGCATTCCAAGCTTGTGTACACACTTTGGGCTTTCCTTCAAGTCACCTGCAGTCCTCTGGATTCAGCCCATGAAATCCCACAGGCCACAGCTAACATGTCTGAAGTATAGGCCCTCTCTCCTTTCTCTCTCTCTCGATCATCTGTCTCATCCTGTTCTGATTTGCTCTGGAAATATCCTGGCCAGCAGTCTCAATTATTCTTAGCCCACTCCTCCCACTCCACCCTGGTGGGAGTGGAGGCAGGGCTAGGTCATCCCCAACCAGAGCACTTTTCCTGACTAATGATGTCCGCTTTGTGGAGGCACTATCTCCTTTCAGGTCTCTTGTTTTTTCTCCATTGAAGCACCAGATATATCAACATAGCCCAAATCCAATGACTCATCTTTACTAAGAGAAGAAGTGGGGGTGGTGGAGAGCTGCACTATTTCTGTCAATTTCTATTTTGAAAGTAGAGCTGAGCCCTTTGTGGATAATCTCAGATTGTTGTTTGGAATGGAATGGCCATGACATTCACAGGGGCCAGATATTGAGTCAGTACCAACTGGTATTAAGTAAAATATCTAGATTTTCCAAAAAAAAAAAAAAAAAAAAAAAAAAAAAAAAAAAAAAAAAAAAAAAAAACCAAATATGGACCCAACCAAACCGAAGAGATTGGGAAATCTAAAGAGAGTTGGGGGGAAAACATCTCACTCTGTGTGAGTCATAGATTCTAGAAAGTTAGTTGGGAATAATCCTCCCTACTCCCTATGACTCAATATTCTAATCTCAGAAAGGTTCTAGAAATGATGTGGCTTGCTTTCTCATGATAAAGAACTTAGACTGAGAGAAGTATAGCAAGTTGTTCCCATATCATACAACCATCTAGTGAGAAACAGAACCCTCAGGCCTGAGTTAGTCAGATTTTTCCTGCACTGCACGGCATCCCCAAGACTCTGCACACATTAACTTTTGCCTGCTTTGTAAATACTAGCAGCGATAGCTGCTCAAACAAAGGACAGCAAATGTGAACATTCAAAATGCTTACCTTCACATCTAGCACATGGAGTTCCACCCTCACCAAACTCTCCTCTTCAGTAAACATTTCAATCCTGTTGACATGGCTGAAGTCAGCTAAAAGAGCTACCAGATTGGTTTTGGTGTTTATGACATGGCTTATGCCATACCGGGGCCCAACTAGAAGAGTCACTTCTGAGCGTTTTTCTGCCTGCTGAGAAAGATGTTGACAAAATTTTTAAAGCCCCGATTTGTGAAGCACCATGCAAAGTTAAACCTGACAGTCTGTTTTTCTAAGATTACATTTTCTTTAGAAATTCTTTCTGGGTCACATTGTACTAAATCATCCAATTAGAAGAACCAGGTAGATGACTACATTGAGGTGCCGATAAATTATGAATAATGTAGAAAGTAAATGCTATCATCATACAATATATTCATAATCATAAGAGGCTTTTACAAAGTAGGTTTGTGGGTCTCTTGTGCTCTTCTCTCTCTCTCTCTCTCTCTCTCTCTCTCTCTCTCTCTCTCTCTCTCTCTCTCTCTCTCTCACCTTCCGTGAAAGCAACTTCTGGCTCAATGACTGAAAAGGTGGCCATTGTTAGAGTCCTTTGGTTCTCTTGTTTCTGCACATTTCCTTTCCTGGGGCAGTCTGCACTTGGCATTATCTAATTTAATGCTTCTTTGGATATTTCAAGCTGTGATGAAGCTGATTAGAAATGAAGGCGGGAAGAGATTTATGGATGAATTTGTTTGGTCATCAAGACAGCTTCTACAGTGATATTTGGCAGACCTCCATGGCTTCCATGAAAAAGTAAAGAAAAAGAAATTACCACTAACGTTGCCTTGAACACCCGGCCCCCATAGAGTCGTAGGTCACTGAGGAACTTGAGATAGTGGACCTTGGCCTGAAGTGCAGAAAGCTGAGGAGAGAAAAGAAAGTTCAAATGACTCCATTGGATCATTTCAGCTGGGGATCAGCTGGCAAGAAAGGCAAACTAGAAGGATGACTTTATTCTGGGGAGGTAGAGTGTGAATGAAACTCTTCATTAGGAAGGAAAGGAAATGGCTACATACTTGTTTTCCTGATGATGGACTGCAGCATGACATTAAGATTCAAGTCTTCCCCCATTTGGGGGAATTGCACAGGGCACTCATGAATATGGATCTGTGGACCAGGGGACTGGATAAATGAGAACAAACTGGTAAAATGGGCCATGAAGACATCTGCTCATTGAGAAGTTTCAAGAAGTGACTGGTGCTTTCTGACTGTGACCAGGGACAGAGGAGGGTTGCACACAGATTTTCCCACAGCATGGAGTCTTACCCGCATGGAAGGTTGTGTGGGAACTGTTATAAATACATACCTGAAATATATGCAAAGCCTTTTAAACAGGTTCTTACACCTCCCCTCTCAAGTTTCCTTGGCCTTTGCAAGTTTTCAGGGAAAATGGGACTTCCTAAGCTTCAATCATTATCTAAATCCTTGGTTTTTAGTTCAACTCTGAGAATCTGTGAGTTTCATGAATGAATTACAAATGAAATTTCATCCAGATGAAATTAATCTTCATAAAGGCTTGAAAATGTATGCTCCCACATCACTTTCAAAAAGGTATCTGATTAAAAACATGTCCACGTTTCATACAGAATGTATTCAGACTGTCTATTAAGTGTGAAATGTTCCAACAAGGTGTAGATTACCATTATGTTGTAATGGCTAAAAATTCTGTTTTTGATCACCCTTGACTTGCCAACTCATTTGTTAACCAGACCTGTGGGCACTGCCTTTTACATAATTGTTATTTAACACCATTTGTTCACCTTTTTTCAAAAAGTATGTTGAAAATTGTGTTCATAGCAACCACACACTCTTGACTAGGAGAAGTGGCCTTATAGGAGGCTAGTAATAAATGGATAAATAGATACATGGCTGCCCAGGTAGATAGACAGATAGTCAGACAGACAGAATTTAGAAAGATAGAATTTATACCAGTTACCAAACTACTACTAGGCCATTGGGCCAGGCTTGAAAAAAAATCACATTAAATCAATTAATGGAAATTCGCTTTGGGCAAATCAAATTGAAATTTAAAAAATCTTGACCTAAGGCAGCCTGCTCTGTTTCTAAAGCTGAATGCTCACTGTGATGGGAGGCATCTTCCCATGAAGCCGGGAAGGAAGCTGCACATGGCTGAGACTGGGTTTAGCCCAATTATACATATTTTAAAAAGTTATGAGGTGAGGCAGGAATGGGAGTAAGTGCTTTAGCAACTATAACTTAAAACCAGATACCAAGTCAATGTGGTGAGTGACTCGTTTTTATAGTCACACAAGTTTCTAGAGCCAATATCAATTAGAAAGTGTTCTTGGGCTTTTAGACTGTTCCTCACTTTCTAGGCCTAGTAATTTAAGGCTCCTACTCTTTTTGGTTACTGGACTCCTTGCTTTTTATCACTTATTAATTGTACCTTTCTTTTCTGACCAACAGTGTATTTAAAAATGTTCATTGTGTACTTAATGAAAACAAAACTAAAGATTTTTAACACTAATAATGAGTGACAAAAATAAGTGTAGATTCCTTCCCCAAGTAGGGTTTAATCTAATAGTTGTCACTTGGGGCTACTTTGTTCCCCATGGAACATCTGGCAATGTCTGGAGACATTTTCACTTGTCATTAGGGGAGGGGTGCTGCTGGCCTCTGGTGGGTAGAGACTGGGGGTGCTGCTACCTATCCTGCAATGCCCAGGGCAGCTCCTACTACCATCAACAAAGAAGGAGCAGTTATCAAATGTGAAAAGGGTCACAGTGGAGAAATCCTGGTTTAATTAATATGGCATCTGGCCTTCAGGGCCCCTTGCTGGCTGCTGTGCATGAAAGGTAGTATGAGTGGTAAGCAAGACTAAGGGAAATGTAGACTGCTTTTGCAATTCTATCATCATCTAATCACCAGGTCTCTGCAAGGTTCACCCGCGTGGGCTGTGAACACACCCACCCTGTACAACAAAGAGTCTATAACTTGTGAGAAAGAAATAAGTGTCCAGAAGAATACTTGTTTCCCATCAGACTTAGACATATATTAATCGTTTTTAAAAGGTCGTACAATGTTACTGCCTTCTGAAAATATGGTGCTAAGTATTTTATTCACGGGCTAATTTTAAACATTTAAAAAAAAACTATTTTCTATTAAGATGCAAATGTGATACCTTTTTACCCGGTGGTACCAAGTTTTGATTTGCTTTGACAAGGTGTGAGAGTGCTTTCTTGATGTTCTTCTCTTTCATGCTTTGCAGCACAGCAGACGGGAGAAAAGTCTCTAATCCCCATTCTTTCCTGCAATAAAAAGCACATCTCTAATTTTGCATTCTTGTGATGATTAGTTATCTAAGACAAAATGGCGCTCTGATGTTTGTTGGAACAAATGAGCTCCTCAGAAGGCAGGGAATGGAGATAAGTCCCCAGTTAGGGAAGCAGCTTTTAATTTACACTCAGGAAACATACTATTCGATCATTAAAACCTATATCTGCATTTAAAAAGATACACATTCCCCACTCTCCAGAAAGAATTCTAACAAGGCGTAAGAGAACCAATGGAAATAGAAGAGAGGCCTCATCAACCCACACCTGAATCTCTTACACACATTCCCATATCTAAGTTCATATTTCCAACACCAACTTCTTTCCATCCCTTTTCTCTCATTTTCTTATGCCCTTGGCTTCCTACATTGTTTCATTTTCTTTTCTTACAAGGATGAATGCAGTTTCTTCATGCGCCTAACCTATCTTCTCTGTCCTTTACCTCCATCAATGGCCCTTTTACAAGCAATGCACAGTTCTCTTTCATCCTGGCCAATTCATGTCTGTTAAAATCCTTCCATTTACATTTCTTGTTGGAGCGTGGCTCGTAGTTGCACAAGTATGTCCATCTGGCAAGGTATCAGTGCATGGGGATGGATGTAAAAGAAGCACAAGTAGCAAATGGGTCTGGGTTAATATATTTTTGCCAAGAGCCACCTCTCCAGCAAAGACTGTTACTCTTTCCTAAGGAAGTTCCATTTGAATTTTAGGAAATCTATCCTGAGACCTTCAAGATGATTTTAATTATTTCTTCCTCTCCAGGTCCTCTCTGAAGAAGGATAAGAATACAATCTTGCCCCATTTGACCATCCATGTTCTTTGATAAAGATGCTATTTTATGGTCATTATGTTCTCTTCTCCCTCCTTAACTTGTACTTATATTTGCCCATTATTTGACACTCCTTATGGGTGGCCTTTTAATTCTACTTGCATCATTTTATTTATGTTTTCACCCATGTACAAATATTAATACTGGGGATTGAACCCAGGGCTTCATGCATACTAGGCAAATGCTCTACCACTGCTCTACACCCTGAATCTTTCATCATTATGTTCAATAAGTGCAATTCAATCTTTATGTCTTCTTTTTACTATCAGATTACAAATTCCTTGATGGTCAAGATAGTATTTATTCACATCAATATTTTTTCCCATCCTAATGTGAATACTATATAAAATGCCAAATGGCTATTTGTTGAATGAAGAAAGAAATTCATAAATGACATTATTATAGACTCTGCAACTCTTAGTTAAGTTACTTAAGTCTGAGGTGCTTTCGTGTGTGTGTGTGTGTGTGTGTGTGTGTGTGTGTGTATTATTAGGGATTGAACTTAGGGTCTTTGTACCAGCCGTTTTCAATTTTCTTCTTTTGAGAAAGGGTCTTACTATATTGCTGAGTTGCCTAGGGTGGGCTCAAATTTGGGATCACCCTGCCTCAGCCTCCTAGGGTGCTGGTCTTACAGGTGTGCACCACCATGCCTGGCTACTGAGATATTTTAGTTTTTTGGTTTTTTTGAGGCAGGATCTCCCTTTGTAGTTCAGGCTGGTCATGAACTCACTATGTAGCCCAAGCTGGCCTCAAACTCAAGGCAGTCTTCCTGCCTCAGCCTGGTAAGTGCTGGGATCACAGGTGTGCACCACTATGCCCAGTTCTAAGACGGACTTTTGACTGTACAGTGTTCAACCTAGGAAAATGTGGACATAGACAGTAGAAACAGAAATGCATTTTAATTATCTGGAAATCCACTCAAGTTGTGCAGGCCACCTTCTCAAATGGCAGCCAGTTTCATCTGTCCCTAAGAACTTCAGAAAGGTGATTGGGAGGAGGTATGAATGTATCTAGTGGAGTGAAAAGACCTCTTTGGTTTGCTGTGTCTCTCTTACACTACAGTCAATGTGCATGTGTGGCAAGGGAAAAAATAGAGAGAAATCATCTGGCACCCACGCACCAAGACTCAAAAGGGCCACAAGAATTTGTCCCTCCCTGGGCATGCACAGGTGGATGGAGTTGCCAGCACAGAGGCACTGAAGTCAGCAATTGGGAGCTCCAGACCTCCCCAACATGGGCTCATAGACCTGTAGAGAAAAACTACGGTGTCTGGGTAAGCCTGGCATCCTGGCGTGTTACAGGCAACCCTGGACAAGCTTATTTGGAAGGTGTGATTGTAGTGACTTTGTCCATCGCATGCAGGTGGGGATGGGGTGGGGGGATGTGCAGAGCTTTTAACTTTACAGAGCTATGACTTCAGCCCGGTCATGAACTCTGAAATACATGTTTTCCATTTTTCTTAGCATAAGTCACTCCTGGGGTGGAGGAAATAGAGGCTGCTGTAGGCTAAAGAATCACCTGCAAGGAGACAAAGAGCTCCTTTTGAAGGAAAGACTCAGGAACTGAAGTCAACACAGACTCTAAGTCGAGAGGTTCTTCCCTGGCCCGAGAGGTCTACTGAAGGAGTTCCACGGCTGACTCAGCCCAAGAGCACATTCACAGCCTCTGAACAGGAGGCCACTGAGCAAGTGAGGTTTGCGTGTGGCCTCCTTCCCAGCTACTACACGGTTCTTGACTACGAATACCACGCCCCCTGATCGGAACATTACTTTATACCGAGTTCTGACATCTAAAGGTGACCTCAAGCTACACAGACACATTCTAAACATAGGTCCTTTAGCCCATCAAGAAAATCCCAGCAAAACTAGGAGTCCCACTGCTTGGATTCGAATCCCGCCCCTTCCAGTGAGCAGACTTGGGCAAGTTACTTCATCAGTCTGCCTCGATTTGCTTTTCTGTAAAACTGATCTCACACGTTGTAAGAATTGAACAGGTTAAGGTCTGAAAAGTGCCGATTCCAAAGTTTGGCTTGGAATCAAGACCCTTTGGGAATTTAAAAGTGCAAGCTTCACTTTCGATATAACCCTCGTTTTAAGCACAATTTTCTAAAAGTAGATTATGCATAAAATGGATCTCTTCTACCATAACGGAACATGATATTCATACTTTTTGCCTCTGGTTAACAAATGACCTGCCACAAACAGAACCATTTTGGAAATAGAAACAAAGATCAAAAGTACGCTCGGGCGGTTAGGAAGCAGCATCTGTGTCTCCGAAGTGGTGCCGAGGGCTAGCACTTACTCGATGTACTTGAGGGAGATTTTCTGCGTCTGCTTGGTGGTGACGGTGGCGATGTACATTTGTAACGCGGCAAGCCGCAAAGCTATGTCGTATTTCAGCTCCGGCCCGAAGCGCTCCTGGACCACATCGTTACAACTCTGCGAAGAGACCAGCAGAGGGCGCAGCTCGTCAGAGAATAGGCCGCCCGGAGCCGTTTAAGAGGAACAGGTGACATGCAATTCCCGAGTGTTTCAACCTTCACTTCAAAGGCAAGGAGGCTAAATGTGGAAACGCTTCCACCGTGCTGCTTGGAACCGAGTCAGTGTTTAACTGCACGCACAAACACACAGACCATACAAAACATTTAACATTCATCGACAAGCTGTTATTTAAATATTTAGCTTTTTGTAAAAATAATTAGGAATTTAGGGATGAAATTTCCAAACACAGGTGCTGCAGCAGAGCAGGCAAAGCTCGGATAGCATACTGTGGTTTCTGGAGTTGGGCCATCGGGGTTGGAATCCTGGGTTCCATATTGGGTGGGGGTGACCTGGGGCAAGTTCCTCACTTGGCAGTGCCTTAAGTTTCCCTTTCTGTAAATCATGGCAATAGTGCTTTCTAACCATGGGATTGTGGCGACAGTTCAATGAGCTAACCGTGTAAAGCCCTTAGAACTGTACCTGGTAAGTTGTCAGCACTCTTACACATTAACTACTGTCCTGAAGAAAGACATCTCCTTCTCCTCTTCATTAGAATCCAGAGCAACTTCAGGGAGGCAGAACCAGGAAGGTGATCTATACTTAGACCCCACTGCTCTGCAGTCCTGGCTTTGCCAGTGGCTACCTGTGTACCATTTGCTTGAACTCTCGTGGCCTTGGTGTCCTCATCTGTGCAGTGGGGCTTCATATGCACTACCTCACTGGTGAGGTTTGAGGATTAAATGAGATGAACAAGCAATGGTTGATCGCAGTGCGCTGGACCGCTTTGCAAAGGGCAGCTACTAAAATCCCCCATCATCTTCATGGCTTCATCCCTGCTGCCTCTAATGTGTAACTCTGTGGGGGTCCTTTCACATCTCGTGGTGTGTGTGTGTTTGCTCATCTGGAAAATGGAAACACCTGACTCACCCGGTGTGCGGTGAGGATCAGATTAAAGAGTGGCCGAGAGTGTGTTACAATGTGTAAAGTCCTGTATGGCTCCAGACTGTTGCCCGTAGGGGTGTGTTCTCACTCCTGCTAGGAGCAAAGCAGGGAGCTCAATGTTGGGGAGAAGCGCAGGACTGCATAAACGGATTCTGCATCTGTGTTTCCTTATTTTTGTTGTGGGAAACTGTATCCTTGGGTGAGAAAACACAGATATGCCTTTCTTACACGCTTCTTTTCTTTATTCTTTGCTTTGTCCCAAGAAGAGTTCACACGGAAGCCTGTATCAGGATGTGTTTGCCTCCTTTCCAAGAGATGCACATTTGTAATTGCTTCATATATTGACTTTACTAAGATGGGAACATGTACTGCGGTATGGCTTCTACACACTGGCCATGTTTCACGCATGCCATGCTGGCACACTCTGTACCTACACGTGATGTGTGCCCCTTAGCCCACTGTCCTCCCTGGAATGCCTGGCCACCTTGTTGGAGGTGGATCTGTCCAGAGGCAGGAGTCAGGGTAGTCTCACTGGCCCAGCTTGGAAAGCCATTCCAGGCAGCCATTTTATTTCTCTAGCCTTGGGTTTACCAGTCACTTCCCAAGACTCAGTTTAGCCCATATGGGCTCCGAGGGGATTGATAAGCTACACAGGGCTCATTTTACAGTGTCCCGGGAGAGCTAGAGATGGGAAAGCCACCTGTCACAGCGCCATGCTCAGGCACTTGAGAAATCACTTTCTCCACTGACTGCTATTGCATAGTGGACATAAGACAGAGGCTTTTCGTACAGAATTTAGAGACACAAGTCCAAGTTTGATCCTAGGCTCTGTTAAATGTTAATCCAAAAACCTTGGACATGACATTTCAGGTCTCTTAGGTTTCATTTTTCTTGTCTTAAAAATGGACACACTCTTTAATTTGAAAGTTAACAAATAACTTGCAAATTTTCCATGATACCTATAAGGGTGTTTAATACAACAAAATGTGCTTTATAAAGATGAGTTATCACTATTATATCTCCTAAGAGTTGTGACTGGGACTACTTTTTCACACCTATTTTACCCAGTATTTAACTTGACTTTTGGGTGGATTTTTTGACATTTAATTACACTACACAATTAGTTTAGAATGACCCCAGAGAATTAGTATGATATCTGAATTATATACATCTTTTGGTATTAACCATACTTTTATTACTCTTAAATACTGTACTTAAAATGCAGCCCACAAGTAAATGGTGGTCCCTGTCTTATGAAACAGAGGTCTTAGTGGGCTCGGCTTCACTTTAGGCCTACCAAAAATTCGTTGATAATTAACATATTGGATGTGCAAAATAAAACCAATGTTGCTAAAGCATTTGAAAACCTTTTGGAACCTGTTAAGTCAAATCCTGTTTACTAACTGGTCTAACAATCTTCTTCTTAATAGACAGTGGGCAGGAAAATGTCAGCGCAACTCATTATGATTATGAACTAGAATAATCTAGATTATTAGTTTACTGTTAATATATATGCTAAAATCTATAAAAGACCTCATGGGCCATTAACAACTAGGAGATTAATAGGTATTATCACTACTGAAATCTCTGTTTTCTTCGTCATGCTTCATCTAGTCAATGGTGACTGTCCTCATTAGGAGCGTGCTAAGTTAAATTGATTTGGTTTTTGTAAAGCAATATGCATTGCTTCTGCTTGCTCTTCTGTTCTCTAGGCTAATTTCATTTTATCTTTTAAATATCTTAAAATTGATGTGGCCACAGGCACCATTTGCAGACCAGTTGACATAACAGACAGGGGTCATTTTAGACACATCACACATTCTGGGATGCAGGTATTTCCAAGCAGAGAGTCTTAGGCAAAAAAAAAAAAAATCATTCCTATTCTCGGTGGAGGGTATATAAAATGATAGTAGCTTTATTTGGGTCTCTATATGCCACCAAATATGGCTATGCATTTCCCTGGCTGGCTACCCCTTGAAGAGGTAGCTAATCTACCACCCACACAATTCACCAGCTAGGAAAGCAGAAACATCGTTAATCTTCTCCTGCAAGTCCCTGGACAAGATCTCCAGGCAGGTTTTCCTGTTCCGAGGCCAGTCCCACAGGTATGAAAAAGGTGCCTTGTGAATAAGCACGCTCTCTATGCATTAGAGTGGAGCACACACACCTTGTACAGATTTGGGTTTAGCAGTGTCTCTTTGTCCACTTAGGAACCACCCCCATGCAACCAGGTTGCTCTTTTATAAATCTAATGGACTTGGGATGTTGAAATATAAGTAGAATCAAGTGGTTTGAGTGCATCTTCCTGCTCTTGGGGGGGTGTATAATCATAGAGACTAACCACCCAATGTATCTCACTGTGTATAGCTAGGTACTGATGGGCACCTGTAGCTATTTATTTGCAGCTGAGGAGTAATAAGTCCAGTACCAGTACTTAGTTTCAGCTGCCAATCTCTGGCACGGTTTGCGGCAGGAATATGGGGAAAATGTACAGCAGATAAGCCGACTTGGGCTCTTTTCATACAGTCATGTCTGGCTTCCCTGGTCTGTGGGGGGTGGGCAGGGGACACCATTGACAAGTGAAAGGTGTAGCTGAGGAAAGTTTAAAAACGCCAAACACGAAAGGCTTGATGTTTGAAGTGGAAAAGGCACTGTATGTTTGTTTTTTAACTTAGTAAACAGGGTATATATTGAACAGGATATGACTCGGGTTATCTTCAGGGAAAATTAATTATCCTATTGATCTGTAAACAGCACAGCCTTCCAAAGACTACCTAGTTGGAGGAGTTAGCTGGTCTTATCCCGAGGGCCCTCATTTGCTAGAATGTTCTGGTTTGTTCTGTTTCTTTTTTCTCCTGACATCAGTTCTGATCTCCAGGACTTACTGTCACTTTAATTATTTCACCATTTTGAACATCCCATATTTACCTTGTCTCTATCTCTCTTCTATCTTCTACCTACTTTCTTTTCCTCCCCAATTTTAAAAGATTACAAAGTCTTTGAAATATAACAAATACCTGTGGACCAACTATTCGGAGTTAACAACCGTTTCTTTTATTTTTTCTTTTCCCAACATTCTTGCTTTTCGTTGTCTATACATGGCTCCAGTCACTTTGCCTTATGCAGTTATCCCCAGTTGAAAGTTGAAGAGAGAGCATATCCTTTTTCTTTTGTTTGTTTTCTTTCTTTTTTCTTTCTTTCATTTTTTTTTTTTTTTTTGGGGAAAAAGTAACATGGAGATTTACAACCTCTCCAAGTAGTTCTAGTGCTAGATGCTTAAGCATTAACTAAGTGGGTCCTTACTGTGCAATGTTTTTAATACTGGAAAGTTCAATGACAATAATAGGGTGCAGTTATAGGAAAACCTAGGACCACCTCCTAAATATCAAATTAGGTAAGTTTCCTTTGGGGCAAACTGTGCCAGGTACTCATTTGTAGAAGCTTTTGTTTTTGTGAATTTAGAGCACAGGATCAAATATCAGCTAATCTAGAAAGGATTCTATTTTCTTAAAGTTTTAATGCCTGAAATTGATACTTTCAATATGGTGGATTTCACAACATTTCACAACAATGTAAGCAATACATAAATAAGCAAATAAAGGAGAAAGGAAACTGTCTTTGACAGTAGCATGCTGATTAATCAATGAAGAAATAATGGAGTCAAACATATCATTTTCAAGCATCATCATCATTATTTAGGTGTCATCAATTATACGAAGGCCAGTGGGTGAAAGTGTGATGGAGTATAACATAATAACAGACTTGGAAAGTGACTCCCACAAACCCCTTCTTCATTCCAAAAGAAAGACAGTGACTTGGGGGAGGATCGGTTTGGAGGATACTGCCCAATGAAGAGTCACATTTAGGGTTACCATTAAGGGCATAAACTACCGTCATGTGCCTCCTGATGTGACTCACCGAAGAAACAAAGCCACTCACACTGCTCTTTTCAAAATGCATAGCCTCAACCTAATCACGAGGAAACATCAGACAACCCCACATTGACAGACATCTATGATATAGCTGATCAGTATTCCTCAAATCTCTCAAGGTCATGAAAATCAAAGAAAGGCTGAGGAATGTTTCCAGTTTAAGAAGACTAAAGAGACTAAATGCAAAATGGCATCCTGTGGTGGATTCTGTTCTAGAAAGAAATTAATACAAAGAACACTGCAGGGACAACAGGCATGGTTTGGATGTGGACTATAGCTAAGATCATGGAAATGCATCAAAGTTAAATTCCTTCCTTCTTTCTTTCCCGCCTTCCTGCCTTCCTTCCCTCCTTCTTTTCTGCTTTTCTTTCTTCCTTCCTAGTACTGAGGATTGAGCCCAGGGCCTTGTGCATGGTAGGCAAGTACTCGACCACTGAGCTACATCCACTGTCCTAACTTTCTTGATTTTGTTAATTATACAATGGTTATTTAAGAAAGAGTTTTTGTTACTAGAAATATTCACAATGTATTTAGGAATAAGCAATATGATTTTGGCAACTAACTTGCATGTGATTTAGAAAAATACTGTGTGCGTGCGTGCATGTGTGTGTTTCTGTGGGAAGACAAGGAATATGAATCAGCATTAAAGATCAACTGCATGTGGCAAAATAATAATAATCTGTGAATCTGGATGGAGGGTTTAGAGGATTACTCTTGCAACTTTTTTTTTAAGTATTGAATTTCTTTAAAATCCAATGTAAAAATAAAAAGAGCACCATAGAATCATTTTATGGAACTTAGGATGGAACACAAGAAGGATTTATAATTAGAGAATTCAGAGAAAAAAGCCAAGGTTAGTCTATCCTACAACATTCATCTAAAACATAACAAATTTTTCACGTACCTGAACATAAAGATACTCAAAAGCAACTGGATCTCTCCTTAACAGGTCAATTGGATCCTTTGGGACGAAGCTAATTCGGAAAAGACACCTCATTTTATGGGAGCTGGGCCTCTGCGTCACCTGGAATAGCAGACCCGTAACACAAAAACACTTCAGTGCTGACTGAGAAATGGCTGAGGGACACAAAAGCAAAGTCGGCTTTCTTCAACACTAAGGAAAGAAGAAGTTGCAGTTCTTTATGTATTTAGCATAGGAGGTGTGATAAAAATATGGCATGTGCTTAAATATGAAAGAATTATTGCAGTAAAAGACACATTGCCATGAATTCCCCTCAAAATACCTTCACTTCAAACAGACTTCATCCCATCGCCCTTGCCATTCTGTGAAGTGGTTCTGGAAATTGTCTTTTGTAAGTGACTTTAGTTGCACAGTTGAGTTTATTTTAATGTCCTGAATCGATTGGAAATGTTTACCTTTCATGGTCACTTCTTTCTACTTTGGGGAAGAGCCAAGAAGTGTCACAGTGTCAGGACTGGTAAATCAGGTGGATGGACACACCATTGTGTTTTTATGAGCCTGTCTTTCAACTGTGTGACTCTCAGCAGCGGCAGTCACTATTTTCATCGTAACTCATAGAGACACTCATGAGAGTGGACTTCCAGAGCTACTTCAGGAAGTGGTAAGAGTGATGGGATAAGTGTGTTCAACTTAGGGGTATTAATGGCAATGAGTCTTCTACTGTAATCCTTTTTAAAACTTTTTTTTTTTTTTCATACCAGGAATCGAACTTAGGACCTTGCACTTTCCAGGCAGGTGCAGCACCACTGAGCTACATCCCCAGCCCAATTTTTAAAAATTTAAACATTCATTGTCTATTTTGATCACTCCTTGCACATACTCATTCCCTGAAAAGGGCACCTTACCTTGTAGCTTAGGTTGAGCTGCCCAGAAGCAGCACCTGAGATGAGGGTTTGCATTAAGGAACTGCTCCTGGGAGAGAATGCTATGGGAGAGGGGGAAGCAGGTGAGGGAAAGAGGAAGGTGACCCATAGAAGGGCCATGGAAAGTCACATATACATTTCAATAAACTGATTTTTATCCTGTTCGGAAATGGTAATAACTGCATTGCACTGACTTCAAAGGCATAGATCTGGTTTTTAACAGGATATTCGAACCAATTTTCTTAAGTATTGGTTACCCGATACCAGAAGAGACTTTTAAAAGCATGGCTGTTCAAGTTAATCAGCATGATGCTGTCCCATAACCCAGGTAGTAGTAGGGCTCAGAAACGATAAGTGGAAACATAAAGCTATGGGGTGTTCCCTAGACTCACAGTAACCAGCTGTCTACCCACAACTCTTGGCACTTATTGCTAGGGGCTAACAGTTCTTTACTACAATACCTGGAGCCATCTGACAGCACGAGGCAAACCTGAATAACCAGGGAGAGACTGTCCTTGGGCACAGCCCGGCACCAACAACAGACCTCATGTTGGGGGCCGAATGCCCGCTGCCTCCCCCGTGTCATGGGGCACCTCTGACATGTGTATTCAGTCCTCCCAGTGGGACTGAGCTTCTGTGGCCCACAGTGGAAACTGGTGATAACACATTCTTCATCGGCTTCCCAGCTTTTTCCATCCCCCTCTCCAATTCCTCTTCCAGCATTTCCTGAGATCTGCTTCCAAACACGCCCCATGCATTCTAATTCTTAAATTCTGCTTCTGGGGGCCATGAGATGCAGACACAGCTGCCACACGAGGAACTCTGTCTATCAGGGATTATTCCTATGTAATGCTGTGTGAAATAAGTCATCCATTTCCAAGAGTGCTTTGACACAGGTTAAAATAGTAATCCTTGGATGTGATTGCTGGCCATCAGAGAAATGTAAATTAAAACCACACTGAGATTCCATCTTACCCCAGAAAGAATGACCATCATCAAGAAATCAAATAACAAAAGCTGGCAAGGCTGTGAGGAAAAAGGAGCCCTTCTATATTGTTGGTGGGAAAGTAAATTAGTACAATCACTATGGAAATCAGTATGGAGATTCCTCAAAAATTATGACTAGAAGTTCCATTTGACCCAGCTATTCTTCTATGTATCTTCCTGAAAGAGTTAAAGACATCATATTACAGTGATCCATGCATACTCATGTTTATAGCAGCACAATTTATATTAGCTAAATCTTGGAAGTGGCCTATGTGTTCATCAGCAGTTGAATGGATAAAGAAAATGTGGCGTTTATACACAATGGAGCATTACTCTGCCACAAAAAAGGAGAAATTGGAGGGCACTTGAAGGAAAATGAATGTACCATGAGACCATAATTTTAAGTGAAATAAATCAGACATATGCTTAAATATTATATGATTTAACTTATATGAGAAACCCAAGATATAAATAAAGAGCAAAATAATAGATAACAGCAAACAGGAAGATAGTCCTTCTGCAAAAGGAAAAAGGATGAAGAGATGGTGAGAGGGGAGGGAAGGGAAGGAAAAGGGCTGACAAAAGCTGTGTTATGTATATGCATCATCTTCCCATGATGAATGTAATCATGACTAGTCCTGGAAACATGCAAGAATAAAAAAAATTTAAAAAGCAAAAAATGGCCGTTATGGCAAAAAAAAAAAAAAGCAATAAAAGTATCAGTAGATTTAAACCTGATAGAAATAATTGGTCAAGTTTACATGGAGGAATATAAACCAACACAAATAGCAACTTTCCAATACTGTAAATTGAAATGGATTGAGTCAAGAGAAGAAGGGATGTTTGTAGGACCTGAGGGGTGGGGCCCAACCTTTAATGATGCCACCACCAAGAAGCACTTCAGTGTGATGGTACTTCCTGCTCCTCCATCCGTCCGATGCTATCCTCGTGCTTCAGTGCCTGGTGTCCCCTCATAACCTCCATCTAAAGTTCTCTCATCACCAGTCTCCTATGTAAAGTACATTTGTTGAAATGTCTAAGACATTCCACAAAGACTGCTGGTGTGAAATTGTAAGTGAGGATGCAATGCTGAATTCAGTAGCCAAACAGCCCGCTTTTCTCTCCAGAGAACAGATAAGGGTGGCATCGTGATAACCAGGAACTGGGACACATTGGCAGATCACATATTTATAGCAGGAAAGACTGGGGGAGAGATTTCAGGCTATGCAAAAAAGTCTAAAGTATGCATGCAGAATTTAAAACAACTAAATATGATTTTAGTTTTATTTACATATTCTCAGAAACCATTTCTTTTTAATGACTTCAAGAGATCTGTGATCAAAACAGTCAAACAAGTCATTGCAACAACATAAAATAGAATTCGACAGAGCGATATTTCCTATGAGTAGCTGCCGAGTCTTTGAATGACAAATCTGCTTAGATGAACAAACGACAGGCTATGAAAGACTGACAAAAAGGGACCATCACTTCGAGGTATAAAATGCATTGTGAATGCCAGTGGTTCCTTCAGTGGAGACACTCGTGATGCAATCACTGCATTTAAAGGGTTACAGGGAGGGGTATTGTGGGACTCTGCTGGCACCAGCAGCTTTGCCCCTGAGGGTGACATCTCACAGACCTGAGTTAGTGTCTCCTGTTCATGCAGCAAGAGCAGCTTGGTCCCGGCCCCTTCTGTCCTCTGCTCCAGCATGAGGGAGAAGTGCTCAATGCCTTTGATGGAGAGCTTCTCTTGAAGAGTTAAGATGACATCCTTACAGAGAAAACATTGACACAATGTGATCAAACTCCAGGCTGCCCTTTTGTGGAGTCTACCATGACTGGAAAGTGGTAACATATTCAGGCTCCACACCTTAAAATTGTATACCTTTGCTTGATTCTGGAATGTGATGCTGCAAAGACCCGAAAAGCCGTAGAAATGAGGCCTTCCTTCCCTTGGCCTTTCCGTGGCCTTTACCACCACTCAAATTCTCTGTGGCGTTCAAAACAGAGTGGTAACAAGGTGATCAGCCCGAGGCAAAGCTTTCCTATTGCTATGTAAGACTATTCCTAGTCTTAAATGACAAAGGTTGTCAATAGATGGTATAATGTGTTCAGTTCAAGTCTCCTCTCTTCTAAATGAGGTCATGATTAAATGAGCTCTGAAAGTGCTCTACCCCAGGGCTTGGCAGAAGAAGGTCTGCATGCCAAATCTAACCGACCAGCAGTTTTGTAAAGAAAGTTTTGTTTGGACACGCATGTTCAGGCCCATTTCTTCATCTTTTGTTCACAGGTGCTTTGAGCAATGCATCAGCAGAACTGAGCAGAGGGCTGAGCAGCCTGGGCTACTTGCTCTCTGGCTCTTCATAAACATAGCTTGCTGGCCCCAGTCCTACGCTGCTGAAGGAAAGGGCAGTGCGGTGGTGGTGGTGGGGACTGTGGGCTCCAGAGATGCTCAGTCTGGCTTTCTAACCCAGCTCCACTGTTTTTTTTTTAGCTCTGCAGCTTTGGGAAAGACAATTAATCGGCAAGTATCTCAGTTCCCTATCTGTCAGGTGGGGATGGTAATAATACCTGCCTTGGAATGGACATAAGAATTAAATGAGTCCATATATAGAAAGCATTTAGCATAACACTGTTTGGTGACGAGGTAGAGCACCATGAAATACACGTTCATTTGATGTTTCTGGGGAAGGTGAAAGAAGAAAGCTTTGCTGGTAATCTTTTTTAAGATTAGACATGTAAGGGGAACAAATGAGAATCAAGACTTGTCATGTAGAGGTACAAGATCCCAACAATGGATGTAACTGTACTGTATCCCTAAAATGTACCAATGAACTCAATTAAAGATGAAAAAAAAAAGATTAGACATGTATCATTAGAAAAGGGTCCCAGGCACAAATACACATATTTACTGCAGTGCAAAAGTAATCTCTTCATCCTTTACTTTTTCATGTACTTGAAAAGTAGGAAATGATTCTTCCTCAAGGTAATAATTTTCCGATGCTAAAATTCCCACAGAACAGTGGTTCTCAACCAAGGGAAACGTTGCCCCACAGCAACATTTGGAAATTTCTGGGGAAATTTTTGTTGTCACAGTGGAGGTGGGGGATGCTATTGGGATCAAATGGGTAGAGGCCAGGGACACTGCTAAACATCTTACAATGCACAAGACAGCCCTACAGCAAAGAATTATCTGACCCAGAATCTCAATTGTGCCAATGCAGAGAAACTCTGATGTACGTAACATTTTCTTTTATTGACTTTTCAGATGTTTGGACTCTTCTCTGTGGCCCTTTAAAAAAATTTCAGGCCCTACTAAAATGAAATCTGCATATTCACCCACCCACCCTCGATTGTTCAACAGACATACCTGGGCCCTGCTGAACTTCCTAAAAATATTCTCTGCTTATAATATTTGCACAAAGTGCAGAAAAGAGAAAACAAAATCAGCCTTTTGTATGGCAACACATGCTTTAGAAAACATTCTCCTCAACCACCAGGGAGGACACTAGAAAACTGATGATAGTTGTAGTTTTTCCCTATTGTAACTCTGTAGCAAGAGTTTTGGCAATTTTTATTAAACAGTGTCATATTCCTTTCATAACTGTACTGTTTCTATTTTACACCTACCAGCCAGTGTCTATTGTGATAAGGCTGTTAGGTGCAAGATAAGATAACTTGAATTTGATGTGAACTCTTTGCATTGCTCTTTGTCTTCTCATTGTCATCTGCAATCCTCGGGGAAATCAAACTCAGTCTAGTGTGGGTCCTATAATAAAGAGGCCGAAGGGAATTAACAGCAGAGCTTCTTTAAGTTTAGACTTGCTTCTGTTAAGAAATGCACTCAGGTCTTTGCCTACAGCTTTGGGTGAGGTAGAGAGCTCAACAGCAAGGAACAGAGCAGAACAAGGCCATGGTTTCAGAGAGAATGGTAGTAGGGTAGCTCTATGGGTTAGTTCGACGTCTGCAAGTGGCATAGGTCTATCTATCTGGCCATGCCAATTTGTTCACCTGTGGTCCGTGCAGTAGCAGAGCAACCTGCTTACAGGCCCAGGCAGGTGGTCAGCTGTATCACAATAAAACCTTTGGACACCAAGGTTCAGGGGAGCTTCCTTTGTTGGAAGTACCCCCATGCATCTCATCACACATCATTTCTGGGAGAATGAAGGGCTGTCTGCAAGAATCCACTGGGAGAGGGCACTGGAAGGCTCTGTGCCCACTCCACCCCGGGCCTAGCCCTGGCTAGGTACCTTCTCCCACTGCTGATTTCCCTCTCTGGCCTTTTGCTGTAATAAAATGTAACTGTAAGACTGACAAATTGCTGAGTTCTGTGCATCCTTTAAGTGAATTATTGAACCTGCTCACAGTCTTAAGGACTCCCCTAACTCTCCTGTCTTTGGCTGTTTTCATGATGCAACAGACAGACTGAACCCCCAGAACTATCTGGCCCTTCCCTGAAACAGTTGGCCAACTCCTGTGCTAGTCGATCAATAATTTGATTAACATCTCACCATAAATTGGTATTGAATAGGAAAAAAAAAAAAAGGAACAAGACTCTGTCAGTCATCCTCATGTAAATTAACAGCCTTGGATGAGAGAAGTTAATATTTCATCTGGAATGATTTAAGGATGACTTAATGCTCTAATATCAATCTACTAATATCGTCCGCTCTGTTGCCTCCTAAATCACCACATATTTAAAGCAATCCAAAACAAGTTGCTTGCTGGTATCACGACAATGAGAGCATGCAGTGAGTGGGCCTTGGCAAAAATGCTTCCATACGTGAAGTCTATGCTGGTTAATTTAAAACACCGAGAACCAGGGGTTGACTATTGATAGACATTTTTGACAGAGTTGATATTCTTTTGATAGATTATTTGTACAGATCAACACTAGGTACTTTTTTCTACATCCATAAAACCTTTTTTACTATGCCATTTGAAGAAAGCCTATTTTAGGCTGATGAAACATTAGGGAGCAATCAATTTCTGAACAGATTTTGTCCAATAAAAAAAAGAGAGCATGCACTTTTCTTTTCCAGGAAGAAAGCATGGGCAAAACAAAACAAAACAAAACAAAAACAAAAAAAAACCCAAAAACATAAAAAACAAAAACAAAAACAAAAAAACCCATATGCTTTGCTGTTCTGCGTATTATGTAAAACTCACCTGTGGCTCAGAAATAATAGGATTGCTTTGTAGTTCTTCCTTTCCATCCCTCCTCTTCATTCCTGACTCTGTATGCATCACTCCCACGAAAGTAGTTACAGTAATTAAAAGTAAACATTATCTTTACATTATTCTACCCCTTGTTTTTGCTGGACACCAAGATAACAGATATTCAATTAACAGCTAACATCTTATTCTTGGTGGCTGACATCGCTGAGAAATCGTGCTGGCTTTGGGCAGGGTGCCAACCCGTCTTGGTGACAATCACATTATTTTAATTAATCTGCGGTTCAATTAAAATGACTAGCCTAGTGTTTCTTCATTGACAGCATATTATATATTTTTGTAACACCGAGGGGTTAAGAATAGAACCTTCTGGGTTTAGGCTTTTTGTTTCAGTTTGCTTTTAAGTATTCACACATGACCTTTTATGGAAACAATCAATACAATTGCAGAAATAAAGGAACAGTTCTAAAAAAAGGTGCAGTTACATTGGCCTCCCCCTGTATCTTTTACTTTGCATCTGGCAGTGTCCAGGTGCCAAGGCTATCAGATTGTCTCACCTTTATGGATGTGCTGCAGTCAAAACGAAATGATTTGGTCTGCCCGTTTTCCAGATAGACTTTCAAAACATTTGGCATAAAAAGAAGTGAATTGTCTTTAACCGTTTCCTGTTTAACAGAAGAAGGTGGGGTTAGTTAGTGCAGGCCAGCTGAACTAGAATTGTACTTCTGGTCCTGGAAACACATGTCTATAGTTTCTCCTAACCACAACATAAGAAAGCAACGAAAATCTCAAAGGCCAACCAAGCGGTCCCTCTGGCCATATCTGAGTGAAGATGTTCATAGCAACATCATTTTCCAGCCACAGTTAACTCACCTGATTCAAATAAAAGACATTTGCCCATCAAAAAATCAATTAAAATTTTTTAAAATTCAAGTTTCCCATTGGGAAATATAGTACAAACATAATTCCTTTGTAATCAGACTCCTGTCTGGAATTACAAGCACAGACTTGCATAGAGCAGGATGGATTGCGTAGCAAGAGGACCCAGAGCTGCACTGTGGCTGGCACCCGATGGCAGTAATGACAGTGAGTCACAAGCGTTAACTAGCTCTGAGAGTGAAGTTACTTTGTGAAACTCTTTTTAATCCATTTAGAAATGTTTCTCAAACTCAAAAGGAAAATATAAAGAAAGGGTTAATGTGTTAAGAGAGTAAATCATTAAGTCTATAATGAACAGATCGTAATTTAGAGATAACTTAAAAAGATACCAGCTTAAAACACAATTCAAAGTAAACAACAGAAATGTATTCCTCCAGATTTTTTTCAGTAGAACAACTGTGAGAGATGAGAGAGGTGGTAGTGGCAGAGGGAGTCCCGTGAGGCCGGGGAAGGTACTGACTTATGCACACATAGTGGATCACAAAGTTCCCAGGGGTTGGGGGAGCTCAGCAATCATGAAAGTGTGTACCCCTTGGTTTGCAGACAGGATGTTCAGACATTTGCTAGAGTCTTACAGCCTGAGCACATTCAACTCCAGCATATGTATATTTTTAACAGCTTCCCTGCCCTTCATTGCCTATTTCTTTCCCTGAATCTCTCTCCCTCCTTCCTACTTCTACACATCTCCCAACATGCCTTTCCCACTACCCAATTCACTGAGTAAGTCTGCACCCAGGTCCAGAAGAAATGGTGCCCCAGAACCGAGTGGGGTAGACTGGGAAAGAAGTCACCAAAGCTGAGGAGTGGGCACATGACCGAAGGTTTGGCATCCACAAGCCTGTCATTAGGCAGCAGCGGCTGCAGGAGACCACGGGTGCTTAGAGCTGTCCTCACCCATGAGCCTATTATGCCCAAGGGGTGAACTGACTCTGCTGAAGCTGCTTCTAGGATCATAGTCTTTCTAAAGATTTCCAGTCTTATGCTTGGAAAAACTCCCAGCAGAAAAGGTCAGTTTCAGGTGATCCTTTGGATTCCTCTGTGCCTGGAACCTTCCAGCCTTCAAGTGGGACTGTCTTACTGCAAATATATTATGTATCATAATCCCACATTTGAAGGATTCGCAAGGGTCCACCAAGGCGAGCAGGAGAGACTATGATAGAGTGGGACTTAGGAGTGTGGTGTGGGAAGAGGCAACTGGGAGAAGAAGGGCCTGCTTTCTCCAAGTTCAGGGGCTCTGCCTAGGAATGCAAAATCGAACCAGCATTTTGGCTTCTGTGCTATTTTGATTTGTTGAAAGACCAGAAAACTCATTTTACTGAGAGGGAAACTTTACAATGGAAGCTTCATATTTTTTTCAAAATACATACTCATCCATTTTATGGAAGAACACTTAGTTGGAGGAAGTTTCAAAGAGGCATATTTTACTCAGCATGGACAAGGCAGCGTCAGTCTTCCACATGAGATGAACTCCTTTGCAAAGCGCTTCCTAACATCGAAAGCATTCTAGAAAACACTGGCCTTCCCCATATCTTGGCTATGTGAGAGGGGATTAAGGCATGGCCCAAGGATCTGGCAATCCCATTGTGACCTCAGGATCGACACTCCGGTGCAAACCAACAACCAGGTTCAGCAGAGGAGATGACTATTAAATTTAGTCCAAAGCCACCTCAACATCGTAAGTTTTCTAAGCTTGGTTGGAACACATTATACCAGAATTAATTTTCAATATGCTGTTTTAACAGTGGACCTGTGTAATACTTTACCCACGTTTAAAAGAATTTGATTTTGATCAGAGGCAAACTGTCTAATGTAATTAACCAAGGAAAAGGCTTTCAGGACTTTCAAATGTTAACTGTTTCCTCCCTGTCTAGCAAATGCTCCACAGTTCAAGTTAATTAGGAATGACTTGTACATTTGGTTTGGAACACCTAAGTCGTGCTTTTGGGATATTTATATTACCATATTCTTTTTTGAATGCTTTGAATGACTGATACCTCCACTTCTGCACCTATGCCCTCTGGTACTGCTTTTTAACCTTCCTGGAATCCATTTTCTAAAAAACAAAGACATTTTCAGATCTGAGAAATGAAAAACAAACAAACAAACAACCAGGTTCAGATAGATCCTTCTGGCAAGATTACTGGCTTTGCTTGAATGCAGTGCCCCTGCCTCAGTGACTTGGCGTCACAAAGCAGGTGACTGTTCACTCACCGACACTTGGCCGTTGATGATGACCTCCTCAGAGAAGCGTACTTTGACCGGGTTGGACTTTAATCTTGCCTTTTTTGCAGCACTAATAAATGCTGATTTGGGAGACTAGAAGAAAAGAAAACATTTCATCTGATTACTGGAAGCATAATGCAAACTTGTTACCAGCTGTTTTTCATCTTTGTCCTCATAGATATGCAGTGCTAAAATATAAAATGTTTGGCATATATCCATTTCAAGGATAAAATGCAAATTGTGGGTGCAGTTGAAGCCTTACCATGTCCATAAACTGGTAAGTTTGATTGAGTCACCAGACCAGAGCTACAAACAGTATGTTTCATGCTCTTATTAAGTACATAGCTAAGGATCTTTAAAACGGTAGCAAATGAAGTGCATAAACACTGCTTCTTAGACAGTTTTGAGCACAACGTGGAAGAGGAGGGGGTGGTCTAATCTAATGTTGGGCATTTGGCTAGTTGATCATTAAGTACCTATTTTAATGAGGTGGAGAAGAGCCACTGACAGGCTGAAATGATTGATAATCCCAGTGTTATTCATGTGAAGAATATGTAGACATGTAAGCAGGCAAGTACACACATGAACACACACACAAATTTACACATGTACTTGTTTAAGCACTCATGCCCCAATGTATCTGGAAATTGAGTTTTAGCTTCTTTTTGGTAACTTCTGATCTGTAATCTTACTGGGCCAGGCTAGAGAGAAAGCTTTTTGACTTACAGTTGCAAGTCGAATTCATATTCTCTCCATTTTACAGATTCTTTGTACTTTGTGATCCTGTCCCTTTTACTAGAATGAGGGCATGAGCAACACAGGTCTTCTTCAGAAACTGGAAGTGGCAGGAAAGAACTTGCTTAGAAGGGTGCTGAGGTTCTGGGGGAGCTTTTGCCTAACCTTTGTAAAATTTCTTTATTTGAGAATAATCTTTATTGTATAATTTTAATAAAGCCTAAAGAGAAGGCAACTCACATTTAGTAGGTATCTACAGTGGTACTTTGGTTCATGAATGCTTTTGTTTGCAAACAGAAGTGTTTTGCAAAATTTTGTTTTTCTTTGCAAACTCTGCATTGGATGACAAACAAGACCGCAGCCATCTTTCTCACACAAACACAAATGTGGCCTTCTTTTCCACAATTATAGAACAAATTAAGTTTGTGAATTGAGTTAGCACTCTACTAGGTTGCCAGAATCATTTGTTTGTTTTAAAAAATAACTACGTTCTCTACTAAACCTAATATAGAGGCAAATTCATATTCTGAAGCATATCCTAGCTTATAAGCTGTTTTATAAACTGCTATGGTTCAGAACATTGGCAATTGCCTTTGGTTCAGACTAATGGCAAATAGTGTAAGATGCTGAGGCTGTTGAGTAACAAATTTTAATAACTGACCCCAGAATCAACACAAGGGTTTGACATTCTGGGTGATATATTAATTTCAAGGCACCAAAACCAACTATAGTAGATTTTACTTTGGATTTCAAGTAAAATGAAAAAAAAAATCAGAAGGATTCCAATTCTTGTCAAATACAAGTGTCTTGCAGTCATTTAAATTAAAAATAACATGATATAACGGGTGAATAAAGAGTGGTCTGTTCACACAACGCACACTGCACTGCCATAAGAAGGAATGAAGTGCCAACATTTGCTACAACACGGGAGAAACTTGAAAACACAATGGTGAGTGAAAGAAGCCAGACACAAAAGAGCCACAGATTGTATGATTCCATTTATATGAAATGTTCAGAATAGGACAATCCAGAGGGACAGAAAGTAGATTAATAGTTGCCAGGAGCCGGGGGAGGGCAGAACAAAGAGTGACTCTTTAATGGATATGGAGTTTTCTTTGGAGGCAAAGAAAAATTCTGGAACTAGACACTGTCAATGGTTGTACAACACAGCGCACATACTTAATGCTACTGAATTGAGTACTTCAAGTTGTACAGTTTTAAGTGGTAAATTTTGTGTTATGTGTAATTTACTATAATAAAAAATCACTACTGAAAAAAATATAAAACGTGTGTGTGTGTGTGTGTGTGTGTGTGTGCGTGTGTGTGTGTGTGTGTGTGTGATGGGTGTAGTTTTGGCTTTAATACTGGAAGAATCCTATTATTTCTAAAAATTTTCTCCATACCTATCTCAACTTTTGTGGTGAGAAGCGTCTCACAAGATTGGATAGATGGATGATTTGTTCTCCAGAGCTTTATCTTACCCAGTTAAGCAAGACATTTTAGGAGAATGGCTGTCCTCTTGAAAAACAAAACAACAAATCCAAACAACTCGGAATGACCACTCAAAAAACCCCAGCTTTAAACATGCTCAGTGTGAGCTTTCGAAGACCTACTATAGAGCCGAAGTGATGGGACAGAACTAGGTTCATCAGGGTCTGTGTAATTAGAGGCTGACTTTTGTGATGATTCACAAGGAAATTATATAGCGGAGGGCTCATTTCCTTCTGATATATCATTTTTTAGCTGAAAGGAGAACATTCCTCTTCTTTAATGATTTTAAGCTGCCAGTATTTATATTGGCACAATGGGTTTAGCACAGGGGAAGCGATTGTGAAACAGTTACCCAGATCAGATGCTACTGATTCCATGACATGCTGCCATGCAGTAGGACCTGCTTCTCCAGATTTGCTGGTGAAATGAAATACTCCCCACGTGTTCCAGATACGGAAGTTCACTTTTCAACGTATGTTTAAAAAAATATTTTTTGATAAAAAGTCCTCCTGTCTGAAGGCTACTTAATGACAATTGGCAAAGTAATGGCTTACTCCACTGGCCAGAGTTACAGTGGATGGAGGAGTGTAAACCAGTCAGGGCAGTAGTTTCAACTCCGTTTTTTCTTTACTACTTAAAAAATATACAACGTGCCCCATTCAAAAACTTGGTGAATTAATTCTTAGTAACTTGTAGGCACGTATCACAAGTATTTTGTATCCTGTGGTCGAAATGATGAGTAATTACCATTTAGAATATTCAGATCTCCTGCAGTTAGTTAATTTTATTAGCGGGCCCCTAATCAATCCCTGCACCTCTTTCCAAATTTGCTGCTGCCCAGGTGGCCACATAGTCTCCTAATGCTTTTAGATTCTCTTAGAAGTCATTAGAACACGGCCTGAAAAAATCACGTAAATACAAATTAATTTCTGAAACTGAAGTATAAGGCCTTGAACATGCAGGTCCTGTAGCTCTCCAGTACTACTGATGCACTGGGCATTGGATGCCACATACTGTTTGGTAAGGGCTAGCCTACAGTTCTCTCTAGGTGACTTGGCTTGGAGTCTCCATCCAGCAGACCTCAGGACAAGAAGAGTTAATCTGGGAGGTGCTGCCAGGAGGAACAGGAAGGTGAGCAGCAGAAGGGACACAGCAGGGGGAATAAGTCACTAAAGTGCTCACTGTGAAGTAAGGCACCGGCTGTAGGCCACTGCAGCTTCTCCTACTGGGGACTCCTCGGAAGCAAGGCAGATCACATGCATCAGTGTTACGCTGTCCAGCGAGAGAGGGAGCTGGGGTATTTGTCCAACAGCTCCTACCAATCGTAGGTGGAGTGGCTGCTTAAATGGCAAATTTCACAGCTTCATTTTTCTGATGCCTCAATATCCTCATAAACAGTCTCTGAGCACCCTACCCAAGCAACCAAAGTGCATCAGTGTGATGAGGTTGGCACCTGCTACAAATTCCCCTCGCCACTCTTCCTTGATCATGACCTAGTGACTCTTAAAAGCACCAGTGAAATCCCCTTGCAACTTTCCTTGTGTGTTCCACCCTAGTCCCCAATCAAGGCACTTACCCACAGGTCCTCCTTCTCATCCTGCCCCCTACTCGCTTGGTTGAGCCTACTCCCTTGATGGTCCCTCCCATGAAAACACCTGGGGACTTGGCCTGGCATAATCAGCTATGACACAGGCCAAGGGGGTCAGGTGTATGGAGCAAAAAGGAAAGTAGATAGTGTGAGGCTGGGAAGCACACATCCCTCAGCTCTTCTGCTCACAAAAAAGTCCAAGGCAATGTGAGTCACGATAGCCCAGGAACATCAGAACCGAGAGAGCAAATTAGCCTAAGTCCCACTGAATTGTGGAAGTGTGAGGAAAGTTTGCAGAGAATCTAACTACTCTCTGTCTCAATAGGATTGGTTGGGAAGTTTCAGAAGTTCTAGCATTGGAAACTGTGGAAAGCAGAGCTCAAGGACAAGGAACAAGTTGACCAATGAAAAATCTGCCTTAAAAATAACAGTATGAGGAAAGAAGATGGTCTATCAGTCCCAAAGAAAGAAAACCCATGAGTAATCCAGGAATGCCCCTTCTAAAACTCCATCCTGGGGAAACAATACTGAATAAAGATGGAGATGTATGCGCAAAGATGTTCCTTGAAGCATTATTTATAGTAATAGCAAAATCTTTAAGACAGTGTGAAGAGACCAATAATAGTGGCTTAGGGGAGTCATGCTCAGTTCAAGGTAATGTTTTGCAGCCACTTAAAAGGTGCTTATAAAGAATTTTTGATGACATGCAAACATGCTTATTAAACAAAGAAGCAAAATAAAATTATATGTGTGACATGATCTCAACAGCTAACAAGACATACTAAAAAAGACTAGGAGGAGATAGGACACAACATTTATAGGGTAGCTGTTAGGGTTTGTGTCCAGATGTCCCCCAAAGGCTCATGCAATCACAGGTGGTTTTCTCAGAAGTGGCTGAATCTAGAGTGTGTGATGCTGGGATTAAGGGTGTGTGATTACTAAACCAGTACATGTGATTAGGTTGGCACTGCTCTAAACCCAGTCATGTGGATAAGGTAAAAGGGGCAGGAAGATGCTCTTAAGGTCCCTTGTTTTTGCTACCTTGTGGGCACCATGAACTGTTTCTCCTCTGCAACACCCCTCTACCATGTGCTATTCTGCCTTGGAGCCAGCCAATTATGGACTGAAATCTCTACAAACTGTGAGCTAAATAAACCCCTTTCCCCTCTAAATTTGGGTGTTGGGTATTTTGTCTCAGCAATGAGAGAAAAGAAACTAAGGCAATAGCCTCTGAAGAAAAGGTTTGTTGATGCCTATTTTTCTGTTTCTGAAATTATTCTGTACCTTTACATTTTTTTTCTAAGTAAAGAGTATGGTGAGGGAGGTCTCCATAATACTTTTTAAAATGACACAAGCAGGGCCGGGGATTTAGCTCAGTGGATCTGCCACCTACCTTACAAGTGCAAGGTCCCGAATTCGAGCCCAGGTACCAAAAAAGGGGGAAAAATGAGACAAGCAATATACTTAGAATTACTTTTTTCTTTCTTTCTTTCTTTCTTTCTATTTTGAGACAGGGTCTGGCTATGTAGTTCAGGCTGGTCCTGAACTCACTATGTAGTCCAGCCTGGCCTCAAATTCAGGGTGATCTTCCTTCTTCAGCTTCCTGAGTGCTAGGATCACAGATGTGTGCCACCATGCCTGGCCTAGAATTACTTCTTATCAAAACATTTCAGGGACCATAAGACTCTTCTCCTAGGTTTCCTTGACCTGAGCCTTCCTCAAAGGGGACTTTTGTGGCTAAGTCATGGTAAGATGCTCTGGACACAAGTGGGGTGTAGTAGGAAAGTGTAAGTATTGGCTCTCTTGTGTTTATTGGCCCTTAACCCACACAAGAAACGCAAGCAACATGAAAAGTGCTGGCCAGCATGTTGCAAAAGAAATTAAAATGCTAATTTTTATTGTCTGTAATAAAAGTAGAATTTATGGATTTTCCCTTGGTCTGCTGGGTCATCTGTTTCTGCATGTCAATCCTGGTTGCCAACAGGATGTTTAGCAAATAAATGAAACCCAGTATTTGTTTACAAAGCAATTTTCTGGTAAGAAAATCCAAACCCAAGAATACAAGTGAGAAATCGCCATCTCCTCTCTCTTCCATTTACTCTCTGCTTCCTAGCTAATGTATTTAAGTGACTTGAGAGCATCAATTCTCACAATTCAGAGGAGGGAAAAGTCACTTTGGACTGGAACAGTAAAGGGAGACTACAGGCCGGACAATGGTTATCAACTGGGGGCAATATTGTTCCAAGGGATATGTGGTAATGTCCGGACTTGTTTTTGTTGTCACAACTGGGGAAAAACGCGCTACTGCCATTTGGTGAGTAGAGTTTGGGGATGCTGCCAAACATCCCACAATGCAATAGATGGCCCCACTACAGAGAATTCTCCTAAATGTCAACAGTGCCGGCCTGGGGTAGCACTTGGAATTTGGGCTGAGACTTGAATGGTGAGAATGAGCCAGCCAGGCTGAGGAGGGCGTCAGAGTGGAGTGTGTGGTGGGCATTGCAGGAAGGAGGGATGGTGAGCTTCGAGTCCAAGAGGAGAATTCATCAGCTAGGATTGGACAGGGGTTGAGTGACTGTGAGCAGAGACTGGCGATTGTCCGCTGGAACATGAGACATTCACTCCAGAATGTTGAGGCTAAACACTGATTTTAATTGAGCTCAGCAGCCAGAGCCAATTGAACTTGTAGAAAATCCCAGACTGTCTGCAAAAAGGAAAAGCCCCAGGATTCAGTCATTGATAGTAAAGAGTATTCATACAGAGAACAAGTTGCACAGATCCAAACTGCAAAAAGACCAAGCAAAGCCACATGACACAACCTTATACTTGAATGCCAAACTCCTCTTTCACTTTCTTAAGCTTATTACATGGGGTGCAGTGGTACTACCCATTGAACAAATAATCTGAGTTGGAGTAAAATGGTTCTGGTCTTACATTCCTAATGGGTTACAAAGTGAGGAGATAGAATTCAGGAAAAGACGACGCAAACTTGAAGTTCTAGCAAGAATTCATAATTGTTCAATTGTTCCTTACTATAGGCATTTATATTGGTTTTGCTGAAATGTATTTGCCTACAACAAACAAATTAAAAAGTGTGGGTGGATTTGAAGTGAGAACGACAATTAGAGCCCAGCTGTACTTTATACTGAAGCATATGTTACGAACCATGGAATCCTGAGGTGGTGGAGCAAGGGAGCCCCTGGACATGTGATCGCACCCATTCCTCATACGGATGAGAAAATGGAAGTTCCGAGGAGCTCTGGAAGTCACCCGTTACACTGCTGGGCACTAGATCTCAATTCTGGGTTCTCCTCTATCCTGAGTTCTCAAATGCAAATGTATATGGTAAGTTCTATCAAAGTGTTAGGGCTAAAAGACATAGTCAGTATTAAATTGAGCTTTTACTATACGCAGTTATGTCCTAGTGCCCCAACGTAGAAGTGCTCTAATTCCGTGGGACAAAAAAAACAAAAGCTTAAGCAGGTTGGAATCTGCCTCTCTCCCCGAAGGCCAGACAAAATACTGATGGGCATTGTTACAGGAAAAAAATCTGAAGAAATTTGCCTCGATGAATCTTAGTTCACTTGACACAATATGAAAAGCACATACAGTGGCAAGTCTATAGAAACAGAAATTAAACTAGTGATTGTCTTGTAGTGAGGATGTGAATGGGAATTAATTGTAGGGTGGGAGCAAGGAACCTTACTAGGGTGCAGGAAATATTCCGAAACTGGATGGTAGTGATAGTTGTATACTTGGGTAAATTTTGGAAGACCATTGAATTGTAAGTGAAAAATGAGTGAGTTGCATACTATGCAAATTCAACCACGATGACGTCTTTTTTAAAAAGTTATGGGAACTGAAGACAGTATGATTTTCAATCCCTTTCCACCTTCCTAACTAAGGTAACTGAAAGCAAATTCTGAAAACCATTATTTCCTTCAACATCTCTTTTAAAGCAGGCTGATATATCCAACTATTTAGATGGTGGCAAGGATAAAACTTATGCTCCAACCTCCTACAAATTAGATATCCCCACAGGACTTGTAATTCTTAAGCTGGAAACCACAAGAAAGTCTTGACTTTTGTGTTATTTCCAGATGTGAGTTCCACAGGACTGAAGAAATATCTGTTAAGAATTTTAGAAACCATTACGTTCTTTTCTCTCTAATGAGTAGTTTTGGGACATGTGGTATAAAGTACAAATAATCCAGATTTGAAAACTCGTGTTGTAAACAGTGTTATTCTTCTCAGCTGTTATTTCTTGTGGCTTTACTGGAGTGTATGGTGGAGACCAGAGGCCCAAGACCATTCTTTGGCAATTTTATTCACAGAACACTTACAGGATAAGGCTGGATGACAGTGAGGAGTATTGATTCTTTGCAGCTTCTGTAAGAGAGAAAAACAAACATATTTACCAAATGCACAGAGCCGAGACTCAGTGGCGGTTTTCTTTTGAAACCAAATGTGTGATGTGTTGGTGAATATTCCTTGGGTTCCCAGGGTAGTGGAAATCAAACAGCTCAGAACACCAAAATCAAGTATTTCCCAAGTATACCAAACCGTCCTTGGTGGTTCATGTCAGACCATATTATCTGTGCTGCTGAGCGGTCAGTCCATTAAAATAAAACCTGTCGAGGAAAGAATGACTTTAGAAAAATCAACTCAATCAGCCTCGATGCTTTTCACTGCTCTCAGAAGTGATTGTCCTCTTCCGATTTTCCTTTGGCCTACTTAACTTTGCTGTCGAAAACTTTCTCTGAGTTTTCCAGGAAGGGGAAGGGATCTTAAAAATTTCTATCAATTCATGGAACATCGTTATCTTCTCAGGGTCTGCATCACAAAATAAATATCACTGAAGGTTGCGTTTGCTTCCCGGATCGTGCATCAGTGGAAGTCCAATGCCTGGGACCCTGAGCTGATAAGCATTTCAGACAGGCACCGATTGGGAAATATCTCTCATGACAGGGAACACTTCCTGGCTAAAGCAAAGCAATGTAATCTAATGGTTTATTTAATTTCCTCCAAGTAACCCAACCTTTCCAGTGACTCAAACCCTTGAGAGAAAATCATATTATGAGTTATATTTCTTTCTCCTTCCTTTCTTTGTTCCTTTTGTATCATAAGAAAAAGGTCAGTTGCCATTTTGCTGTTGAGAAGCTGATGTTTTCTACTTCACTTTGTAATTAATTATCTGCTTTTGTGACTTATTGCTCAAATGACTAAGGCATGGGGGATCTGTTGCAGTTCTGTTCCCTCGAAGAGGCCACTGTGAATTGTATTTCTCTCACTGACTAATCTGTGGCTTAGCAGGCTCACCCTAGCTGGCTGGACTATGTCCTACTGACGTCATCCGGGCGAATGTGGGCCTTGAGGTAGGGAGAGAGAAGAGGAAGGAGAGGGACCATGGAACGGGTAAAGCTCAAACTACAGCTCCAGAAAGCAACAGTATACTTAGAATGATAGAGATGCAGGTGCAGGTGTTATGGGCGGGGTGCACACTGCTGACAGTGGCCTGGCTGCCCCCACAAGTTCACCATGGTCCTGGTGGCAGCAAGTCCAATAACTGTAGCAGACAGAGAGCAAAAGTGTAACCAAACGAGGCTTCCATGGGCAAGATGAAGGATCATGCAGTGCTGGTGGGTGTGTGGACACAATCAGCAATTTGGGGCAGCAATCTGTTATCCCTAGGTCAATTTCAGTGTCAAAAGCACTGTCACCTAACACAGTCACTGTGTCACAAAGGAATTCTGACATTAGCCTTTAAGGGGATAGGGACAAGGATGTTCCTTGCAGAAGAATATATGAAGTGAAAAGCTGAAGGCAAGCTGGGCTTCCATTTCTAGGAGAGGAGATAACAAGACAAATATGCAGAAAGCAATGCAGATGGAAGCAAAGTACTGCTTCTTAGCTTTCAATCTCTAGGCACAGGAAACATCCAGCAGATAAGAAGTGTGAGATCGGCCCCCAGACCCGATTTGTGAGTGTGGTGCTATCCTAGCGGACCCGTCTGCCCTGTCTGGCTGGCTCTGCTCAGATTTGCTTCCAGAACCCTCAGAAGCATGCAGTGGGCCTCATAAATCCATCCTGTGGGCAGAGTTGACTGGACCTAGGGTGTGGGGATGAGTCAATCAGATTTCTTCTCTCCAGAATCAGAACTAAGAGGCACAGAGATGAAGAGGGCTTGGAGATGACACACATTTATGGCAGGGTACCAGAGTCAAGGCTCCAGATGCCAGCAGTGCTCCTAGCAGTCTCGATTCCCATCATTCCCGAAGCTGGTTACTCACCATTCTATTAGAAATAAAACAGTTGATGTAAAATTTGTCAGCATGTTACCTCTCACCATTCTGGAAAAGAGCCTGTGTTTTCTCTCACCTGTAGGTATTTAATCATCACCTGCCAGACAAGAAGAATTAATTCCATAGTGCTTCAGATCCCTTAGGAGTCCTAAACAAATCTTAGGAAGAAAAAAAGATCAAAGCCATATGTGTTCATATGTTATAGGATGCCAAGATGGATTTGGACAGATTCAGACGCAGCCCCATACCAATAGATGCCAATCGTCACCATATGTGGAAGAGGGGTGCTGTGGGACACTCACAGGAGGTGTTGCAAACCAGAGTTTGGAATCCTTAACCCCTTACTTCCCTTAAGGTCTGATGAAAGACTGTGAATATTTAAAAACTGAAAATAGGAACTAAGGAGAGGCTGGCAGAGGCTACATTAGTGTAATGAGTCCTCCTGCAGGGAGGCAGGCCCAGTGTGTGAGTTCCAGGGCAAGATGTAGAAGATACAGTGAAATTATTGGCCTGGGGTCATTTCTAGAAAGCCTCCAGATCAACAGAGCTTCTTCTAGGGGTGAGAGGGTCAGAGCAGAAAGACGATGAAGCCAAGGAGCATGGAACATAGCCAGCCCTTGGATTCTGTCTGACTCAAGGGGGCTGAGGTTGGAGTAACTCAACTGAGAAATCTCCCAGAAGTCCACAAAAGCACCTACAAGAGAGCCAACTCTGATTGTCTGCCGCAGACACAGGCACCAGGGCTGGATTCTACTGGTGCCAATCAAGTGAGAATTTTCCCCCTTTTCATCTCACCACCCTGGCCTCATTTCAGTTTGGAAGGGGAGATAGCTAGAGAAGAAGTGGAAAAATAGAGAAAACATTGACAGTGCCCCTTAACACACGACAAGCTTCCCAAGCCTGACATAAGGGCAAAGGAGTTCGTGGAATTGGGAGTTTCACTCTTACATGGCAATTGAACATTTTAATTACACGTTACAGATTGTCATGACCACAAGTAAACAAGTGACTGGAAAATTTTTCTGCACCTGTTTAATACATTGCATGACCTACCTGAGATTTTCTTGAGGGCTTGAATTGGCCCTGCAGAGCTATTATAAATAGGCAATGAGGGGAAAACACAGTTGTCATTTAATTGCACCCTCTGAAACCTATGCTACATTTATTCCCAATTTCTCTTTGCTTTTATAGACTTGAATAGACCTTGTTCTTTGAATTCAAATGAAAAGTTTAGACTAAAAGAATTTGAACTTAAAGAAGAACAATAAATTTAAACCTAAGAACGAGGGATAAAAACCAGGCATGGTGGCACATGCCTGTAATCGTAGCATTCAGAGGCTGAGGCATGAGGATTGTGAGTTCAAGGTCAGCCTGAACTATATATTGAGATATTGCCCCCCCCAAAAGAAGGAGAGATAAAGATCAGATTGAGGACCTCAGTTATTTGTTGATAGTTGGCTTAGGTCTACCCTCATTTCCTTGCCGTTTGGGACTCCAAGAATAGCCACTGGGTTCATGAAAGCTAGCAATATGATGAAAGTTACAGTCTTATGTAATGTAATCATGGAAGTGACACCCCATCGTGTTGGCTGTACTCTCTCAGAAGCAAGCATAAGCCCCAGCCACACTGAAAAAGGGGCTTACAAAATTATGGATACAAGGTGGCATGCGTCACTGGGGTCTATCTTATATTCTGCCTGTCACAATAATAAAGAGGGACTTAAAACCAAGTAATCTCAAAATAGCTCAAAAGTAGTTTCCACCTATGACTTCACTATTCACAGATTTTTTTTTCTGTCAATAACTTCAAGAAGTGGCATTGCCCTGCATATCTTGTTAATTGAAAGATGGGAAACGTTTTTCAAAATCTGTGTATTATATGTCAAGTCTTTGTATCTATAGTGATGCTCTGTGAATTTCTTGAAGCATAATCTAGAGTGATTTTAATTTTACAATTTGAAAAATTACATTATCTGCATTAAAATAAAATATTTTCAAAATGATATGTATCATTAAGATTGGGGATGTGCTTTTCTTGGTTATTTTTTCTCATGTATAATTATTTAACTATAATCTACCAGACAAGAAAAATTAACTCCCATAATGTTTTGGATCCTTTAGAATCTCTTTAATCCTAGGAAGAAAAAATAGATCCAAGCTAATTTAAAATAGCCGCAACAGAAAGATTGGGATCAGGAATGAAGATGCCACATTCAAGCAAGCAGATAACCTCTTTTTAGGAAGGCCTAAAATAGCCAGAGGCTTTTAAAAATCCAGTTAGAAGCGCATTTAGAGAAGTATTGCATCATAAATTCCAAGTAAACTTTCTACTTTTGAGGAGTAATTTCAAATTTCAGTGCCAACATTTTTAAATAGATGAGTTTGTTAAAAACATCATTTTAATCCCTGAATCACAGTGCTGACCCACAGGGAAACGGAGGCGATCCTACCCTACATAAACCTTTCCTGTCAGAGTTGCTTTCCCTTCCTCTCCCATTATTTCTTTGGCAGACATCTTGTCTCATGCCTTTTTGACAGAGAGTTCATTGTTTGGGATATTCAGCATTCATGGCTGCAGGCCATGATTTGGTATCGCATCCCATAGCATACTTTCATTAGATGTTGATGCAAGCAAACTATATGAGGAAAAAAGCTCAAATTTCAGTTTTGTTTTTTTGGTACTGTGGTACTGGGGATACTGTAGTAAGCTATACTCACATCCCTTTTCTATTTAAGAGAGGGTCTTGCTAAGTCACTAAATTATTCAGGCTGGGTTAGAACTTCCAATCCTCCTGCTGCAGCCTTCCAGAGTGCTGGGGTGACAGGTATTTATTACTAGGTCCATATTTTAATAAGGTAGAGTTTTCAGTAGTAACCCCCACCACTTTTGGCAGTGCTGGGATCCAACCCAGGCCTGGATGAATTTTAGCAAGCACTGCACCAATGAGCTACCTCTAAATCCCTGAAATGTTTCTCAACAATGAGGCAAGAGCTGGTGTTCTCTATATTTTAGAGCACCACAGATGGCACCTTTGTTTAACTGTCTTTTCCATTTTTTATTTATACCATCTTAATACTTCATTATGT